TCCGTTCGTCTTTCACGGTACGTCTGAAGTTTTCACTTCTGAGTTGGGTTTAATGGAGCTTCGACATATTTGAGTAGTCCTTAGGTCTCGATTTAGTAGGCATTTTTTATTTTAATATTTTGTGGCGCCGGGTATGTGCTATGGTTAGCACTTTCGTTTCACGGGAAGAAGTTGCCCGTTAACTAGGTTTTGAGATTTCGAATAGGTGTAAATGTATGATAAATCTATTAGGCAACATCGGATTTCTAGCGGTGTTATGGGCTTGTCTTAGAAAAAATTGACCTCGCTCGTTGCCGCGGCTCAAGTGGCCGTTCGTCGGGTTCGAAGCCCGGAGAGGAGGCCGACCACGGTTGCGGACACGCTAGCCCTTGGTGTTTTCCTTGGAGCTTTTAATTTAGCACGGTTGAGAGGAAGATGTAGTGACACCATATTCATTATGTGTCGTCATTGAGCATCGAGGTTTCTTACGAGAACTTTTCTATTACTCACCCTACCATTACAGAAATGACTCGCAAATTTTTCTAGCCCATATACTGAAGTCACACTTCTATGGAGGTGTGTACTCACTTTGCAAATTAGATTAGAATTCTTAGAAATTAAAATGAAAACTGTACGAGGAGGCTGTGGCAATACTACATTGCTAGAAAACAATGCGACAATAGTTTGGTGGTACTCATATTAAGGCCGTATGTCGTACGATCTTCGATTCCACTTGCTGTGTGGAATCATTCACGTCGAATGCACTTGAGTTTTCGTGTTATTCTTGCTCAGTTCGAGTGTTACATACACCCTCCTCAATGTAGCATGTAATCTAGCAGTGACGAATTTAACATATGATTTATCCTAGAATACCTGAGTCGTTAATCAGCGTTGTACTAACATTGTCACGAACGTGCGGATAGTCACACCGCCGAACCCGAACGGAGCCACCTTCGAGTATGATATTGTGCATATCCATTTGATGCTCTGTAATTCTGTCATGCCTTTGATTGAGTATTTCTTCATTCTTTTCAGTGGTGCACGGTAAGGGGTTCTCTTCGTACAACAACACCGGAGAACCCGTGTATAGCAATCTTCATGGGCCGTGATATCTGATCGCGTATAAGAGGTGATCTTCGACAATGTCAACGAGGTACGCTTTCCTACAATTTGGCTCCGCTAGGGGTGCTAACTTTTGACGTGGCTAGAAGGAATGTTAAATGTTCCTAAATCCACAATAATCGTAATTATGGTAGTCGTTCTTCCAATTGCTTTGCAATAAATGTACTTGCAATATTTATATCTTTCGTGCTATACATGTCCCTAAAGAGAGTGCGAAGCTGGAGCCACGCCATGTCCCGGATGCCTATAGCTCTGTTGGGAGTTCTGTAGTCGTTTATAGTCGCAGAAAGAAACAAAAGGTAGCCATCTCTACTGAAGCCTCCAATCCTGAAAGCACATATATTGTGTGCATACTTACAATAGAAATTGTATGCATCACCCGGTTTTGTAAACTTCATAGCATGCCAATTTATAAACTCTTCATATATGGAATGCTAGATCTTGTTAATCAAAATGCTGACCACCATATTTCAATATGCTTTAAGATAAATGGCAAGATGTGATATCTGTATCAAATACAATCACATATCATGCTGATAATAAAAATGAGATATTGTTTTATTCCTATGGAAATACTGATGATACTTGAACGGTATGCTACATTTTAGTTTTAGCAGTAGTTTGAAGGCTCTGATTGAATTGCGAATGCTAAAGATTATTTACGAAATTCTAAACCGCTAAACAGAATCGCGTAATTTCAATGAAATCGATCACAGAAGGTTATGATGTTCACGATTTCAAGCCAATTGTCGATGGGTAACTTACGGGATTGAGCGATTTCTCGTTCCAACGCATCTGGTATTGGCGAAGGTGCGTTGTCTCCATTGCCTGCTGAGCGATTGAATGTGGTTGGAATAATGGATAATTGATTTTGCTCACCTTCATCGATATCAGCCATTGAAGAATGAAGGATGACGTTTCTCCTCCACCGATTGCTGCGTGTAAGAACAATGGAGGATGGGGTTTGATGTAGTTACATAAATATTAGCCATTGGATTAAAAATTTTAATCAAATGGCTAATATGCAATCACGATAATGTTGATGCTTAATTTTCAACGTACAATCCCACCCCATATAATATACTAAAGGGGAGCCGCGTGCTATGTGATTATAAATTTTATTGAATTGTTAAAATTAATTATTATTTCAAATATATAATTTTTAATATGAAAAATTATTTGAATAAATTAAAATATTTTACATGATAAATTTTTAATATTTTAAATATTGAATATTGATAGATTTTATCGATCAAATATAGATATTACAAAAATGAATTATTCTATATATAATATTAATGATATCTACTCATATTATAAAGTCATCTTATTAGTAAACAAAAAAAAAAAAAAAAAATTCGAACAAAATTAAAATCAAACTTTATTAACTTGTAACTGTTATTTCAATTTATTTTTTAAAATTATAATTTAATTATATATTATTTGGATCTTTATATAATGTTAGTAATTTGTATTCAAATTTATATTTTTGGAAAAATATTCTTTTTTATTGAATTGTTAAAATTAACTACTATTATCAAATACATAGTTTTCTATATGAAAAATCATTTCAATAAATCAAAATATTTTACAAGATTAACTTTTAAGGTTATAAATATTGGATATTGATATATAGATTTTATCGATCAAATATAAATATTACAAAAATGATATCTATAGATAATATTAGTGATATATATTAATATTATAAAGTCAAATTGTATTAACATGTAACTATCATTTTAAATTTTTTGTATTAAACAATAATTTAAATACATGTTTTTATAGACAATTTTTTAAAATTATAATTTAATTAAAAATCTTATTAGTAAACAAAAAAGAAAATTCTGAACAAAATTAAAGTCAAATTTCATTAATTTGTAAATATTATTTCAGTTTATTTTTTAATTATAATTTAATGTCTATTTAAATTTATATTTTTAGGAGAATATTCTTTATTAACAAAAATAACATACATATTTTCTTCAAAAATAATATATTACACTATTTATTATTTTTATATTACTTATACAATCCTCTATATGTTACATTTAAAATTATCATTTTAAACTATTTACAAAACAAACATACTTTCTATTTTTATTCTTTTTTATTTTTATATAATATTTATACTTTAATAATTTATATTTTTATGATAAACAATCTTTATTTGATATCACTTCAAAATTTATAATTTTTTTTTATTTTTTTATTTTTATAGTATATACATAAAATCTTAAATAGACAAGTATGTTAAAAAGAAAAATAAAAACACAATAGCCTATAAATTAATTGATATACAAAAAATCTTAAATAGACAATTATGTTAAAAAGAAGAATAAAAACACAATAGTCTATAATTTATTGATATACAAAATTATATTCAATACGCAGATAAATAATTTATACATATATTATTCCTTTTAAAATTAAAATATAAAAATAAATAAATCAATAGTATATAGTTATAATTTATCTCACTAGGATTGGATATAAGTTTGATTTTTTTAACTATTTATATATACAAAAAAAAATGATATGAAAATAATGTTTTTATTTTTTAAAAAAATTCTTAATTAAATTGATATAATTAAGTAACAAAATATCAAAATCATATTTGTATATTTTATTTTCAACAATTTATTTTTATTGTTCGTTTATAATAATATACTTTTCTTATTTGTTTGAAAGCTAATAATTTTATAACTGTTCTAACATTTAAATTCTTTTACTAAGGTTTGGATGTTGAGATTGAAATTTAAACAATAAAAATTTTGAATTGACGTAGTCGTACGATGTGATATAAATAAGTATTGATATAATATTTTGAACTTAAAATTGATTTTCAATACTCCCTCAATCCGCAAGAATGTATACATTTTTTTTTTGTTATTTAATTACAAGTAATCATTTTATTATATATTCCATTTTTTTCTTCACATGTACCCTTATTTTATAGTCACATAAGATAATTAAAATGAAGGATTTGTTCTTTTTTTTTTAATATAATTATCAATATATATAATTTATCATTTCACAAAAGTTAATATTTATCTAAAATATTATTTTTTTATTTTTTATAGTTCACATAAAAAAATAAATTCAAATAAAAACTCTAAACAAACAAACCCAAAAAAATAGGCCTTACACCAAACAAATATATTATTCGATAAAATATTAAATTAAAATAATTATATATTATGATATAAATAAGTGATGATGTAGTATTTTGAAAGTAAAATTGATTTTCAATACTCCATCTGTTTTGTCAGAATGTATATATATTTATTTGTCAAATTACAAATTAATTATTTTATTAAATACCTTAATTTTTTTAATAAATACTCATACTTTACCATCACACAAAATAATTAAAATTTCATCCTTTTTTTTTTTATACAATTCTCAATATATAATTTATCTTTAACAAAAATCAATATTTACCGTAAAATATTATTTTAATTTCTTATACTTCCATTAAAATTAAATAAATAAATAAATAAAACTCGAATCAAAACTCAAGCAATAAACTTGAAAAATAAGTCTCACGCCAAACAAATATATTATTTTTTTTTTTTAAAAAAAACACATTAAATAAATAATTAAAAAAATAAAGTAAATAATATTATTAGTATTCTTACTTTATATCTTTTATCTTATTGACTGTAAGCGGTGGGCCTCACAAAAGAAAATAAGAAAAAGAAAAGAAAATCTCTGTATTGCCATATACGATAAAATAAGATTAGATTAGATATATATATTATTATTACAATATTATTAAATCGACAGAATAAATATTATTATTATTATTATTATTATTATTGCTGTTGTTGCTGCTGCTGCCGCCTATATATAGGCTTATATGGGGTTTCTCATTCTCTATTTCTCGCCTTTCTGCTTTGGTTCACTTCTGTCTATTTCTCCCTCCCCTCGCTGCGTTCTCTCTTCTATCCCAAACTCCGTCGACGCGAAAACATAAATCTACTTGCAATTGCAATGGACGGCCATCGAAGTAAAGCTTCATCCCCTAAAACGAAGAGGAAAACGAGGAGAAAAACGAAGAGGAAAACGAGAAAAGTGGATGACCCAGGGCCAGATAGATTTAGTAAGCTGCCGGACGAGGTGCTGCTTCTGATCATCGAGCGTTTGCCGCTGGACGACGCTGTTCGAACAGGTGCGCTCTCTACCAGGTGGAGAAATCTCTGGAAGGATGTCGCTGAAGTCCTTATTACATGTCCCTCGGAAACTATCTCCGTTTATACGGGGGCCGGAGGCGGTGGGGATAGGCAATTTAGCCCCATACCTTGGCGTTTGGAATGTCTCTCAGAAAAAATCACTGATTCCTTGTACAAAGTCAGTCGCCCTAATATTAAGAAATTCACGTTTAGCATTATGACCGATCGTTTTTACCGAGATGCTCTGGAGGATGATCCCTGGCTTACCTGGGCTCACTCGCGTAACGTTAAAGTTGTTTCGATGGAATTGCACTCGGTCAGGTTCTATGCCCCAGAGTGTTTCTGCAGTAACTCAGCTCTTGAGGAGTTGTACATTGGGGGAAGTACGCTATTTTCATTTTGGGTCGACTCCATAAGTTGGAATTCGCTCAATATTCTGTCCCTTTCGAGACTGTATATTACCGAAAAGGACATGCATATAATACTGCAGGGCTGTCCTGTTCTAGAAAGTTTGGATCTAAGCAATGTTGAGATTTTTTCGCCTCAGCGTGAATCCTTGAACATTAATGGAGCTTTGTATAAACATAATCTTCCGTCACTGCTCAGGGCCAATATCGATTTGGCATATGTAGTGGGTTATGATGATGATTTGGATGAGGAGGAGTTGATAATAATTGGGGGCACTCATATATTGGAAAGTGCTGTCAATGTTGAGGAACTTACTCTAGGTCCATTCCATGTTCAGGTGAGATTTTCATTTATTATGATTGTTTGTGCTTGTATATATGCCTTTTAATTTCGAAAATGATATGTATGTGTGTAATCATAGCAATAGATCTTGTGGTAAGAACTAAGTAGGGGATCATATAATAGGATAATTGACTTTACTTATTTTCTAGCAAAACCACTAAAAGTGACCTGAATTCTCTACTAAATATGCAATGTGGCTAGCGTGGTAAATGATTCTTATCTTTGTGTCCATTTAGGGTGTGTTTGTTCGGGGGTTTTGGATTTTGAGTTGAGATTTGAATAGTAAAAATTTTGAATTTGAATAGTTGTATGATGTGATATAAATAGGTGTTTATGTGATATTTTGAATGTAAAATTGATTTTTAATATAATATAGAAAATGAAAAATAGGTGTTTGATTTGATGTTTTTGGGAGGAAAAAATGGGATGAATAGTGAATATAAAATCCAATCCCCAAACAACACACCCTTAATAAAAAGTTGCAGATATAGCATGATTGGTAACATCTGTGGAGTTGCTAAACATTTATTCACTCTCCATCCCGTATATTTTCTATTGTTTTTTTTCCGAAAATTCATTTGTTTCTGTAGAATAGGGGAAATCTAGTCAACCATATGTTATCTATAGTTGAGTCCAAGTCTTGCTCAAGAACCTCAACTTTGCAATCATGTGCAATTCACTCAAATCGGTTCTAGTCTAAATTATGCTCTATATGAACAAGCTTTATAATGTTGGTGTGTGATCCACCTTATCTGCCATTAACTTTGTTGCAGAGTCTTGAATAATTACTTGTTTTTGATTCTTCTAACTTCCTTTGATTGTTCAATTCCTTTTATGAACCTGGAAAACCTTAAGCTTGATCAAATATTTGAGGCAATGTCATGGATTGGTTGGTTATATCCACTTTCTTGATTCCTTCTTTGTGATCTTGAAAGAATTTTGTCGTTAGCTCAAAAAAGTATTTTGGGGAGGAAGGGGCAGGGAGAAATAGCTTGTTGTAGAGAAGTAGTGTTGGTTGTATGATCAATGATGAAAACACCACCAAACACACGGATCCATCATTGAATATCTCTTTGTTTTTCTAAGTGTTGAAATCGTGGAATATATGCCTTATTGAAATTGGAAGGGGATCCATTGTCACATTTAGCTGCCTTATATGCTCATATTACTTTAAAACTCATCATAACCCGCATTGGACCATTAAAGGCTTTTTCAGCTACTGAACCACATGTAAGGCAGCTGATACATCGAGCAGTAATGATCCATCTCATATTATATATATATGTACCTCCGAACTTCTTTAAGAAATAGACACTACTTTTGGTTTCCTGTCATACATTAAAACTCTATCTTATTCATTAATCTTTCTTCTAGACAAAGCCACGGAGCACCTGCTATAAATGCATATACTTTGCCTTTGCTTTGGATTGAATACAAAAATCCAGGAAGTCACCAAAAAGCCTCCCTTTCTGAGTAACAGTATTGTGTTTGCCAGGCTGAATTTGGTAGTTCATCAATATGGTCATGATAGTCTACATTAGTAATTACAATAACCCCGACATTCTGGTAACAATAAAATGTTTCCGAGTAAACCAGGACAACCTAAGGTCTTGTCTTGCTGCGGCCCTAAGACCTGCCTTTTGATATATATCTCTTTATACCATTGACCTTGTGTGAAAAGTTTCTGAAGATAGTGAACTAAATACTCGTACTACTAACCAAATAAAACACTAGAATTGGGTACATATAACGATCTAAACACAATATAATGATTGAGGTAATCTCCACTCATCTACAGCCCTGCTCCAAAGCTTCAAATGTTGTTCACTACTTCGCTTGCAACGTTTAAGGAGAAAACAAATTTGTCAACATATCCTGAGTTCATTCTTAGGATAACAGTAAATATAGCCATGCTTGTGTCTTTTATTCTAATATGCTTTATATTCAGTGCATCTGGATTTATTTGAAGAGTCTAATCTTTGATAAATTATTATTAACGTCTGTTTCATGTATTTCCAGTTCAATTAAGTCGGTCCACAGGCCATGCAAGTAGATTGCAAATTTGCAATAGTGATCTGTATCAGTTCAATTTAGCTTGTCTAGATGATAAATGATTGATCCTATGTATATATTTCAGAAATCTATGGTATATCTCCTTGTGAAAGCTGAACTGTTTGAATTGTTTTAGCCAACGCCTATTAGATGTTTTAATTAAATGCTGAATAAAAAAATTCGGAACTGCATTATATGATTTGTGTCACTCCTTTACGATGTTGACAATGAGACATTGTTTTTGTTCACTATCTTGTTCTGTCCATCTCAAGAAATGAGTTGATTTTTGCAGGCCTTGTCTCTGAAGAAAGTTTTGGGCAAACTTTGTCCATCGTTCATGAATTGCAAGCATATGACCTTTTTGACATTTTTCTTCGAATATGAACTGTCCGGTATTGTACATCTTCTTGAAAACTCTCCAAATTTAGAGACGCTATTGATAAATGTGGAGCATGGAGCACCTTTGTACTATTGGGAGGTTTGTATTTCCCTCCCTTGCAGCATTCAGTTGCCACCACTTGTTCATATAATAGTATTCTTTATATCTAATAACAATTTTGCCTCTCCATTTACCTCCTTATTGCGATTTTTACATCGTATTACCATGGACATGGACAGGAAGATGCTGAAAATTTCATTCGAAGTGCTTGGGATATCAATGGAGCTGAATACCTGAACACACAAACTGGACAATTCCAGCGATTGAAGTATGTTGAAATTCGGCATATCACTTTCTCGTGTTCTCATTCATTCAACACGCGGAATGTCAACGCTGAACGCTTCGACTCACACCTTGCGGCTTATATTATGGTGAACTCGCCTTCCCTGGAAAAGCTGATGATCGCCTTCCCGAGGGTTGACAATATACCCCAATGGTGCTCCATAGACTGTCTTTTCAAATTTTTCTCCAGAATCTATGATCAATTTACACTTCTCTCTCAAAATCAATTTGCAGATGATAGATGGGAAGTAACCATTGATAAGTTTCATTTTGAGATTAGATGCCGCAAAAGGGTATCTTCATCCTCAGTCTAGCGTTGCCATAGCTTAATGCAATAGGTTGCTGTTGAGCATGTCTTTATGTGTAAATAGGGTATAAGTTTGGAAAACCAGTTGTCAATATTGTTTATTTATTTACTAGCTTATAACCTGAGTTATGCAGAGATTATTTTTATATTAAATTATACTGACTCTGTCCTATAACAAAATTACAAATATTCTTACAATTTACAATATATTATACAAATGTTATTATTATTGTATAATATTAATATTTCTAAAATTTCGTGCAAAAAATAAATAGATATATAATTACGGGACAGAGAGAGGGAGTATAATAATTTAACTTTTTATATAAATAATAGTTAGAGTTTCTTATATATATATATAATAAGTTTAAAAAAAATAATAATTTGTAATCAAATAAGAATAATAAAATAGATAATTAACAAAATTTTATACATTTCAAATTCGATTTTAAATAAAATTTATTTTGAAAAGAAGTAAAAAATAATACAAATATTGAAAAAAAAAAAAGAAATATGAGTTCTAAATTCAATTTAAAATTTAAGATGATAAAAAGTATTTTAATATCAAAAAATTTAAATTAAAAGAAAAAAATATGGGACAAATAAATAAATAAATAAATAAAGACTAAAACAAATAAAAAATAGAACTTGTACTTATAAATGAGAACATAGAGTTAAAATAAAAGTTTAAAACTCAATAATATCCCAAAAAATATATATATAATTTGTATATTTTTTATGTGGTTATAGCTAAAAGATAAATTTTGTTTATAAATTAAAAATTTATATATTTAATTCCTATGTGGTACATAAAAAAAAATATTTGTATCCATAATTAAATAGTACTTCTTTAATCATTAAAATTTGTTGAAATCAATGTGGGACAAAGAAAAAAAAAAAAAGAGTTTCAAATTCAATTTCAAATTTAAGTTGATAAAAAAAGTATTTTAAGATTAAAAAACTTAAAATTAAAAGAAAAAAATATGGGACAAAAAAATAAAAAAAGAACAAAACAAATAAAAAATAGAACTTTACTAGAACATAGAATTAAAATAAAAGTTTAAAACTCAATAATTACAAAAAAAATATATAATTTTTATATTTTTTGTGTGATTACAACTACAAAAAATAAAATTTATTTATAGATGCTAAAAAATAAAATTTATCTACTTAATTCTTATATGAGACCATTAATATATAACAAAATTATCTTTAAATTACTAAAATTATCCATAATTAAATATTAATTTTTTTATTCTTAAAATTCTCAAAATTATGAGAATTGAAGTGGTTGTGATATATATATATATATATATATGATTGTATAAAATAGACAATTAGTGCACATTTATATGACATACAAGGTCAAATGTATAATATTCAAGTAATTCTCCTAAAGTTATATTAAAAATTTGTCAAACATTATCTATTTTATTTGTTTTTATTGGTAGAATATTCTTCTCCTATTAATCCTTAATATAATGGTTTACAAAACTTTGTGACGGAAAATATATAATTAGTCAAATCCTTGTAAATCAAGCAGTGAGACATCCTTCGTATGAGAGTTGGGTCCCAAGTTCGATCCTTAGTGTGTGTTAAAAAAAAAAATATATATATATATATAAATATATAATTAAAATTTTATTATTGGATTTTAATGAAAATATTTTACAAAAATTTGTAATGGTAGATATAATTAGACTTTATTATTGAATTTTAATGAAAATAGTCTACAAAATTTTGTGACTAAACATATTATTAAACTTTATTATTGAATTTTAGTGAAAATATTTGTTTTATCTTTTATATAATAGTCTACAAAACTTTTTGATGGTAAACATATAATTAAACTTTATTATTGAATTTTAACTAAAATAGTCTACAAAAAATATTATGATGATATTCCTTTTCTTTTCTTAATCTTTATATAATAATTGACTTCAAACTCATGTAAACATCATCTATTTATTTTATAATTTTTATCTTCTTATTATTTCAATTGTTCTTTTCTTTATTATCATATATAATTATTTAAAACCAATATTTCTATATATTTGTATAATTAGTTGATTTTACTTGGGGATGGTTACGGCATATAAATATATATATTCAATAAATTATTAGGGTCCTTTTATATTTTTGAATTAATATTTTACTATATTTAGATTGTGTTAAGTTTTGATTTGAAATTTGAAATAGCTATTTAAGTTTTGATTTAAAACGTAAAATTTTTTAAAATATTTTTATTGAAAATATTAGGATATTAAAATTATATATATATTTTATATGTAATAAATCGGTACTATTAATATTTTATTTTTCTTCTAAAGATTAGGGTTTCCTCTCTCTATATATATTAATCTTTTATTTTTTCAAATTTGTTTTTTTTTAATGATAGTTATTACTAGCTAGCTTTTCCGGGGATGGGTGTTTGCCATAATATAAGCCGTAAGGTATGAATAGAAGCTTTCAACATTGATATTCCGCGAGTCGAATGAATGAGAATACAAGAAACTGGTATGCCAGATTTTGATGTTCTTCGGGTATTGGAATTGTGCAATTTGTGTGTTGAGGTATTCAGCTCCATTGACATCCCAAGCCCTTCGAATGAAAGTTTTATCATTGTCTTATTCATGGTAATACAATGTCATAATTGCGATGAGAAGATAAATGGATAGGTGAAAGACGAATTGTTAATAGAGAGAGAAAGAATTCTATTAAATAAAAAAGGGCGAGTGAATGCTGAAAGGGAGGGAAATACAAACGTCCCACTAGTAAGCAGGTGGTTCATACACCACATTTATGAATAATGTCTGTAAATGTGGAGAGTTTTCAAGCAAATGTATAATACCGGGCAATTCATATTTGAATGGGTTAAAGTGCGAAAGACATTCTATTTTGAAAATCAATGTCTTCACACTAGGTGTGCGTTGAAAAAGATACATTATTCCGAGGTATATGCTCAAATAACCATGTATACGAATAGTTAAATGCGTCAATCTAAGAAATGGACCGCAAGGTTTGTTCCACATTTTCGTGACATACAAAACCTGTAAAAAGTAAATTGATGAATGAAACGTAATAATAAAAAATAATAGCAACCGAAAAAAATGTGATCGATCTAGTGCATAATTCTAGCCAAATAGTTCACAAATTTGTACCAATGGTCATATGCCTTTTAATTGAACTTGAAAAAATCCAAACAAAATTTTTCTTGAATAAGAATTTAATACAAGAGTTAGCTTTACTAATAAAACGTGTGATTATCTGTGAGATTTTGATTTTGGGTCTTGATTTTAAATAGTAAAATTTTGAATTGAAATAGTTATTTGATAAGATATAAATATGTCTTGATGTAATGTTTTGAATATAAAATATTTTAGTGTATTATAATAAATAAAAAATTAAGTGTTTGATTTGATGTTTTTTAAAAAAGGAATTGATGAAATAGTGGAGTTCGCCATAATATAAGCCGCAAGGTGTGGGTCGAAGCGTTCAACATTCCGCGTGTTGAATGAATGAGACCACAAGAAACTGGTATGCCGGACTTTGACGTTCTTCAGGTGCTGAAATTGTGCAGTTCGTGTGTTTAGGTATTCAGCTCCATTGACATCCCAAACCCTTGGAATGAAATTTTCGCCATTCTTCTATCCATGGTAATAGGGTGTCAAAATTGCGATGAGAAGATAAATGGAGAGGCGAATTGTTAATAGAGTGATAAAAATCCTATTAAATGAAAAACGGCGAGTGAATGCTGAAATGGAGGGAAATACAAACCTCCCAATAGTGCAGGAGTGGTCCATCCACCACATTTATCAACAACATCTAAATTTGGAGAGTTTTCAAGCAGATGTATAACACCGGGTAGTTCATATTTGAAGAAAAACATCGAAAAGGTCATGTGCTTGCAATTCATGAACTATGGGCAAGGTTTGCCCAAAACATTCTTCAGAGACAAGGCCTGCAAGAAAAAAAAAAAACAACTTGTTTTTTGAGATGGATGGAACAAGACAGTGAACAAAAACAATTTCTCATTGTCATCTCATATAATGCAGTTCCGAATTTTTTGATTCAGCATTTAATAAAACATTGTATACCCCAGTAAAACAATTCAGACAGTTCAGCTTTCGAGAGGAGATAATGAGATAGATTTGTGAAACATATACATAGTATCAATCATTTATCATCTAGACTAGCATTTAATTGAACTCACGAAATTGAGATGCCAATGAGAAATTGTTTTTGTTAAAGGTTTTCAAGACATTCAAGCTAAAGGTTTTCTTGATTAATACAAGGAATTGAACAATCGAAGGAAATTAGAAGAATCACAAACAAGTAAAAATTCCAAGACTCTGCCATAATGTTAATGGCAGATAAGGGGGATCGCATACCAACATTATGAAGTTTGTTCAGATAGTGCATACCAGATACTTGAAGAAATATCCGACGAAGTAGAACCATCTCTTTAGACGGGAGCCGATTGAATGAATCATCAAGTTAGATTTCTTAAACATTCAGCACCACATGATTGCAAAGTTGAGCTTCTTGAACACGACTTGGACTCAACTATAGCTAACATACCAGGTTGACTCGCTTTCCCCTATTCTACATAAACGTAAGAACTTTCGAAGAAAACAATAAAACGATATGGAGATGAAGAGCAAATATATGTTTAGCAACTTCATGGTCATGGATGTTACCAATCATGCTATCTGCAACGTTTGATTAAATGAACTTGAAGATAAGAATCATTTACCACTCTAGCCACATTGCATATGTTAATAGAGATAGTGGTTTGGCTAGAAAACAAGTAAGTCGATTATCTTCTTAGTTCTTACCACCACAAGATCTATTGCTGTGATTACGCACATACATATCATTTTGGAAATTAAAAAGCATATATGAAAACACAGATAATCACAAAAGTGAACAAATACAATAGGGCAAAAACAACTAAGAAATCCAAAAACCTGTATATATATATATAATTAATTTCTATCGATTTCATAATATCATAATCATAATTAGATATAGAAGAAATATTATTATAACAATAAAATTTGATTCAACATAATATTATGATTATTATTATAATAGTGTTTTGAAAAAATAAAATAAAATTAAACATCTTTTTAATTTGATTTAACATATTATTATTATTATTAAACATATAAAAAGATTTAACACTGTTCAAAGTGTTATTGAGATATTTTAGATATTAAATTTTATATTTAATAAATTTATATTTAAATTTGATTTATCCGTGGATTAAATTGCTTTAAATTGTTTAGATTTAAGTTTATAAAATTTGTTTTATTAGGTATATATATATCCCTTATTTTAAGGATCATATAACTCAATTTTTGAGTTATTCCAAACTAATTTAATATAATATTAGAATCTATTTTTCTCTAGAGTAAACTTAGTCAATTTCGTGTTGGAGTTTTGCGATAGTCTTGCTTGTGATCAGTCTCTCATGTTTCTCAAGAGGTCCGATTGTATTGAGAATCTCCTCTGGATTTAGTGTTCCGTTTTTTTTACTATGTGAAGAGTCTCGTCGTTTCCGATTCGATTAAAAGTCTTGTTGTTTTCGACTTTAATTCAGTTAAAAATGTTATTTCAAGCTTTGATAAGGTAGAACTGCGGTGGCAACGACAAACAAACAACTCTTATTTTTGTTTTTGTCTTTTGTGTTTATGTTTAACTTCTCAAGTTGTTTACGCTATACTATTTAAGTTTGAGGAAACATTAAAATATTTTAAATATTCAATTTTAAATTTGATATATAGATTTAAGTTAGGTCTTATTCATATATTAAGTTGTTTTGATTTGTTTAGTTTGTTTAGATTTAAGTTTATGGAATTTGTTATATAGTCTTTGTGTTGAATGTAAAATTAATTTTTAATATAAAATAAAAATAAAAAAAATAATTATTTAATTTGATATTAAAAAAAAATTGAATAATTAAAAAATTATGATAAATTCACAATTCAAAATTTGATTGGTTAAGACCATCCGGAATGGAAATACCCGCTTTTGGGAAATCTCCACTACTTTTTCGGAGATATTCTCTTCTATTTTATATTCACAACAAAATATTCATCCTAATTTTTTAATAAATTTTTATTTTCATATTATATATATATTATTTTTTAATTATAATTTTAATTTGTAGTATTAATTATTTATTTAATTGCTTTAAAATTTATAATTATTTTTTATTTAATAAATTAAATTAAATTTACTAATATTGATTTGTTCAATAGAATTATATAATATTTGTATTTATATATTTTAAATTTTAAATTGATAAAATATATTCAATATTGGTATCATTTCGTAGAATACAAAATATTATGAATTATAAAAATACTACAAAATTTAAATATAACAATAAATTGAATATAAATTACAAATACAAAACATATATAATATATACCCATGGCAATGGAATCACATCTTCACCATTCTATTTTATGATGTGGCGCATCTCCCGGGTGCCCTAAGCGATCCTGTTCTTAAAAAATACTACGAGTATGTTTGTTTGGAGGATTGAATTTTAAATTTACTATTCATCTCATTTTTTTTCCACGAAAACATCAAATCAAATATCTTTTTATTTTTTATATTATACAAAAAAAATCAATTTTACATTCAAAATCAGATCTTACAACTATTCAAATTCAAAATTTTTACTATTCAAATCCCAATTCAAAATCCAAACCTCCAAACAAACAAACACACCCTATTACAAAGTTGTTGACTTAAACTAGTTCATTGCAATATAGACTATAGAAATCCACAAAATAACAAAGATCTGTTTTATGAAAAAATTCAACTGCGTTAATATAAGCATATTTGGGAATGAGTACTATGATTAGCACTTTTATTCTAATTAAGTAATCAAACACAAAATACATTATACCAAACTAATAATAATAATAATAATAAAACTGTAAATTCTGGCAACATCGCATTAAAAATCAATTGGAGTCATTTAAATTTTAAAGCACTTGATATGAACAATGCTTGCATAAGATATCAATTTATACATGAAGTTGAGGCTGAGGATATCATACAGAGACCCTTTTGCAGCATCTAATCTCAAATTTAGAGAGGTCAATGGTTACTAGCCATCTACCATCTGCCAATTGATTTTGACACTGAAGTGTAAATTCATCATAGATTTTGGAGATAAAACCAAAAAAACAGCGTAGGGAGGACCAACGGTGTATATTGTCAAACCCTGAGAAGGCGATCACCAGCGTTTCCAGAGAAGGCGAGTTCGCCATAATATAAGCCGCCAGGTGCGAGTCGAAGCGTTCAACATCGTCATTCCACCCGTAGAATGAACGACAATCCGGAAAAAAGGTATACCGGATTTTGACGCACTTCAAGTGTTGGAATTGTGCAGTTTGTGAGTTCAGGTATTCAGCTCCATTGACGTCCCAGGCGTTTCGAATGAAATTTTCAGCAATATTCTGTCCTCCGTGATAATACAATGTCAGAATTGTGATGAGAAAATAAATTGAGAGGCAAATTGTTATTAGAGATAAAAAAATCCTATTATATAAACAAACGGTAGGTGAATGCGAAGGGAAATACAAACCTTCCAATTGCACAAAACTATTCCATGCTCCACAAGTATCGACAGCGTCTCTAAATTTGGAGAGCTTTCAAGCAGATGTACAATGCCGGGCAGTTCATATTCGAAAAAAAATGTTGTAAAGATCATATGCTTGCAATTTATGAATGATGGACAAGATTTGCCTAAAACTTTCTTAAGAGACAAGGCCTGCAAGAAAAACAATAACTTTTTAATTTCCCATTGTCATTCTAACATGACTCTTATAATATAGTTACCGATTTCTTAATTCAAGATTTAATGAAAACATCTAATATGCCATTGTCATCGCAACTTCATGGATGTTACCCAATCATGCTATATCTGAAACTTTTTATTATTAAGTGAAGTCAATTATCCTATAGTAAGATTCTTACCACAAGATGGCATGTATGAAAACACAAAACAAATAATCACAATAAATGAAAATCTCACCTGAACATGGAATACACCTAAAGTAAGTTCCTCAACATTGACAGCACTTTTCAAAATATTTGTGCCCCGACTTATTATCAACTCCGCCTCATCCTCCTCATCATACTCACCATCGACATAAGCCACTGCAAATATCAAATCAATATTGGCCTTGAGCAGCGACGATCCATTGATCAGCTGAAGATAATCTTTATCCAAGACTCCATTAATCTCCAAGGATTCAAGCCGAGGAACAATATAAACATCGCTTAGATCCAAAGTTTTCAGAACAGGGCAGCCTCGGAGTATTTTATGCATGCCCTCTTCAGTAATACAAAGTTCCGAAAGGGACAGAATCTTGAGCGAATTCCAACTTACGGAGCGGTCCCAGATTGACAAACGGGTATATCCCCGAATGTACAACTCCTCGAGCGCTGAGTTACGGCAGAAACACGTGAGGCGATAGTACTTGGTCTCGCTCAATTCCATCGAAACAACTTTAACGTTACTCGAGTGAGCCCAGATAGTCCAGGAATCATCATAATCCACATCATATAGGGAAAGTTGACCGGTCTTAATGCTGAACGTGAATTTTCTAATATTAGGGCGACTGAGTTTGTACAAAGTATCAGTGATTTGATCCAAGCGATTTTGCAAACGGCGACATAAGGATCTAAATTGGCAATCCCCAGGGCCTTCGGCCCCCGAATAGGCGGGGATAGCTTCCGAGGGACATCTAACAAGGACTTCATCGACATCCTTCCAGAGATTTCTCCACCTTCTAGAGAGCACACCTGTTCGAACGGCGTCGTCCAGCGGCAAACGCTCGATGATCTGAAGCAGCAATTCTTCAGGCAAATCACTCAATCTATCTGGCCCTAGGTTATCGATTTTCCTCGTTTTCCCCTTCCTTTCGGGGGATGATTCGCTACTTCTATCGCCGTCCATTGCAATTGCAAAGCTGCGGAAAGGGAAAGTAAACTTGACAGCGGAGTTTGGGTAGAAGAGAGAAAATAGGTGGTAAACGAACAAATAAATACAAAAGGCAAAAACAAAGAAGTAAAGAATGAGAAATCAAAAAAGCCTGTATATATAATAATAATTAATTTCTGTCGATTTAGTAATATAATAATAAGATTTGGTGGATTTGATAATATTATAATCATAATTAGATATAAAGGAAATATTATCATAACAATAAAATTCTGCCGAATTTAACATAATAATATTATTATTATTACAATAGTGTTTGAGAAAATTTTCATACACAACCTTCAAAAAAATATATAAAATATATATATATGGTAAATTGATTTTTTTATGTCATAACTGACTCGTTTATCACTATAGTTTCATAATAGGAGGCTATCTCCTAAGTGAAAATTAATTTTATCCAATTATTGATATTTTATTAAAAATTAAAAAATATATATTATATATATATATTATTTAGACAAAATTATATTAATATTATTATTGATATTTATCTAAAAAATATTGGAAAATATTATTTTATCTAATTATTTATATTCTATTATAGGTTAAATAATAATAATAATAAAAAAGAGTAGAGTATATCATTTATATATATTTAAGGATCTTTTATTTTAAGAAGAAAATAAGTATTAGACAAAATTATTATTATTATCGGATAAAATTGTCAATAACTCTCTTGTTATTTCAAAATTCAGTGTAAATCATCTCTATAATTTATAAATTGTATAACGTCTTCGTATACTTTCAAATATGTTGCATAAAACTCTTTTTCATACTTTTTGGACGAAAAGAATATGATTTCTCGCCTATATTTTTTTGCATGATAGGGGTTTCAAATAACGTTTGTTAAAGTATAAAGAACGCCACACAATTTCTAAAGTACACAAAAATTTTATGCTAAAGTTTCAAAAATATATGAGAATTGTGAACAATTTTGCTTTATTATTATTACTATTGATATTTTTTTCATAAGAATACTAAAAAGAATATTTTTTTATTATTTATATTTTATTATAGATAAAAAACATTATATATATATATATATATTAAGGGCCTCTGATTTTTATTTCGCCCCGGACCTTCAAAAGTAAGGACTGCTCTGCTATCAACTAATATCAACTACATCTAAGTACGTATTTACTCAAATCAAACAATTCAATATTTAATTGTTTACATCTATTTATTAACCAAAATTAATGATGTATAAAATTATTTGGTGAATTTTGAAATATTTATCAAACAATAAATTAAATTTAAAACTCCAACTTAAACTTCAAACCATAAACAAAAATCCCTTAAGTAAACACACGAAATTATTTATTATGGACCAAATATGATACACACAAATTATATTATAATTAAAATCTACAATCTGAGCAACATGGGGATGTAGCTCAGATGGTAGAGCGCTCGCTTAGCATGCGAGAGGTACGGGGATCGATACCCCGCATCTCCATTTTCTTTCTTTCTTTTTAGTTTTTTAGTGGGCCACCTGTCGTAAATGTATTGGCCCGTCACTTGTTGCATTATCGATTTAATTCAACACATTAGTATATATATCGAAAGTGTTCACCGATGGCCTGCAAACGATGTAATCTTTCCGCTAACGTTTGCTCTCCTCATCGCAGCTCTCATGGCGTCATGGCTAGCCCTCGTTTTGGAATCTGTCTCGATTAATAATAGCACAAGGCTCGGGAGTACAGTCAAAGTTGTTGTGCCGGCAAAATTGAATATAGAAAATGTGGCGCCGAGACCTATCGAAACGTTGACTGACGGATTCGATGGATAGGCATTCAATGCAGCAAAATTTCGTTAGAGGGGAGCTATCCGAGCACGCTTATGGATAGGAAGAAGAAGAAGTAGCAGCAGCTCGGATTTTCAATTTGGTGCAGCTCCGGAAGCAATGGAAGATCGGCTGTCCGAGCTGCCGGAATCGCTGTTGCTCGAGATCCTTTCGCGATTGGAGATGGAGGACGCCGTCCGAACAGGTGCGATCTCGACTAAGTGGAGAAACTTGTGGAAGCTAGCTGATGGAATCGCTGTTCATTATCCTTTCCGCAAATTGTACGGTAGATATCTCAATTTCATGACCTGTGAAGTCGTGGTGCGAGAGTTCGTTTCAGTAGTTAGCCGCACCTTGTCACAATTTACTAGTCGTAATATCAAGAGATTCTCGTTGGTGGTGGATTACGTTATTGATATTGACTGCCAAATGTTCGACGAATTGCTGGAATGGGCATTTCTGAGAAACGTTGAGATTCTTCTGTTGACATTTCCAATGTCCGTTTATTCTGCTCCTGAGTGGTTCTGCCATAACTCATCGCTTAAGAAATTGGACATCGAAGGCCCGATTGATTTCAAACTTCTCGGCAGTATTGTGAATTGGTGTTCACTCAAGAGTTTATCGTTGTCATTGGTGGAAATTAGTGATGAGGACATAGCTAAAGTGTTGTCAGGTTGTCAGGTGTTGGAAAGTTTGGTTCTGAATCAAGTTTCAGGCATTAGTAAGTTGAATTTTGGGTCGTCAGCTGTGAGAAAGCTAAGAGTGGTGAATCACAGGAACTATGACAATGAATTTTTTGAAGTTATTGCTCCTTGGCTTGAGCAATTAGAGATTTCTGGACCATATCGTGGATCTGATATTCGGCTGAAAGATGTTTCTTCTTTGCTCAAAGCTGGTCTTACATTTGAATGTGTTGACCATTTCTATGGCCCGTTTGATGTTGATGTATTCATCCGTCGGGAAGCTCCAATACTGGAAAGCTTGTGTGCTGTTGAGGAGCTAGCATTTGGACGAGAGCTTATTCAGGTTAGATTGATGCTTTGTGGCTATGCTTCTGGAAAATTATGATTTAGGATCATATTCATATATGTGTGTTCGCGGGACCAGTGTTGATTAGGAGAGCTTACGACAGATAGCTTCGATCAATTTTACATAAGTATAATTTTAACTAGCTTTATGTGATAATCTTTCTTTGTTGATCCATTTTTCCGAAAGGGGCCCTCTGTCCTCCATTAACCTCAAACTGAAAATGTCCTTGTTCAATTATCCATGACTATCCATATTGCACATGTAGTTAATCAATAGTCACAAACTTGATTTTGCTCTTGAAGTTTACTTAAATGTGGGATTAGATTTTCTTACTTGGATTTTCATCTATGAGTTTCAATCCTTTAATGACATGCACATCAATTTGATGTACTGCTGTTTCACTTATTCTAAAGATTCAACTGCATTAAGTGATCCTTGGTGCATGTTTAATTGTGCCTTATTTGCTGTTACGTTTTCTTTTAGAAACTTTACCTACAAACTATTAGTAGGTAGAGTTACAATGAGTGTCAAAAGCTCAAATCTTGGTTGTGTGCTGTATCTCAAACTAAATTCTGTTCTTTTGTTTGTGCCAACAAACATATATGCATAAGCACATACCGATATTTATAATTGATTATCATTCGCATTTCCAACTATTGTAATAGTCTCCTTCCCCTTTATAGTGAATATGAATGCCTTAAGGAGTAGAATCGTTACAAAAGCTAACGACGAATATGTTAACTTACTTATGTGTCATATCTTGCATAATGGTTTTGTATGGTTACCAATAGAATTATAACAAGGGCATGTCTAATTATCCAAAAAGGGTTCTCCGAAAAAGATCATAAATTTAAACATGCTTTAAATTTTGAAATGATATTTGCATATAGGTATAGGTAGTCTCTGGTATAAAACTCACTAAATTCCAACTGCAAGTTGTTGCAGGTCATGTCCTTGTTGAAACTATTGGGCAGACAGTGTCCGTCATTCAAGTGCAAACACCTGACACTACATTCGCGTGCTTTTAAACACGAACTCCCCGGAATAACATACCTTTTACAGAGTTCACCTTTCTTGGAGACACTAGTCCTCGAGGTGGAAGCCCCGACAACATGGGAGGTAATGAGGTTAACATTAGTCCTATCTATTTATTTGATTTTTTTATTTTTTGATCGTCGTATCTGCAATTTTAAGCCTATCGAGTGCAGTACGTGTGTTTATTTCCCATGTGTTTACTTGCTATGATAAAATTGACTAATTAGTTTAAAATGCACGATAAAATTGTATAGTAGCCGAGCATAAATACATCTTGGATACACTATAAGGTCGTGTTGATTAATTGAAATGGACAGGACAACATTGCGAAGTACCTTATAGGTGTTTGTGAATTCGATGGAGCCATGTACTTGAGCAAGCAAAGCTTCGATTACGTGCAACTGAAAAATATAAAGATATCTCGAAACTTTTACTCGTGTTCTCACAGAGATGCTTGGTGCAATGCACCACAATTTGACTTTGTGCTCGCTACGCATATCACAAGGTACGCCCGTTTCATGGAAAAAGTTACTATAACTTCGCCTGCGATAGAAAAATTGAACTCTAATTGCTCGAGAAATTGTGTGTCTGAATATTTTCATCAGTTGTTTCGTGAATATTCACAATATTTTCATTGCAACGACTCCGCAGGAGTGTGGAAGTTGAGTGCAAAAAAATGGCCTTTTGAGATTGTGTGTAGCAAATAGAGTTTGTATTGTGTAACTTAGAATATTTTGCACTACATGGAAGAAAAACACGAAAGTCAGTCAGTTGCTTCGATATAAAGACAATAATGTTTGCAAAAGATATATATATTTTGGTTATTAGAAGCTGAACATTTAATTTACTATTGGATTATCGAAATGAATATAAAAAGTATGGTATGGTAGTTTTAAGTAACAAAATGAGTTTTAAGTAACATTTAATTTACTAGACGAACCATGTGTGACAGATGATCTCAAGTGTCGGAGGTTTGAATCCGTAACTTCACGGTCACACGTCCAACCTCCACACCATCGCGCATGGACAACAAAAATTCTTGCATTTACTATTAGTGTCTTGTTAGGGTGTGTTTGTTTGGGAGATTGGATTAGATTTCCATTATTCATCCCTTTTTTTTTTTTTTCCAAAAATATCAAATCAAACATTTATTTTTCGTTTTTTATATTATACTAAAAATTAATTTTACATTCAAAATATCACATCAATACTTATTTATATTACATCATACAATTATTCAAATTCAAAATTTTTACTGCTCAAATCCCAACGTAAAATCCAAACTCCCAAACAAACACACCCTAATGTTATATGTTATATGAACATCAATTACATTATTGAAAACCAAAATTCAAAATTAAAATCACACAAGTAAACACACTCATATATATTTTGCATCTAAGTGAATAAACAATATATATATATTTTTACTACCATTTAATAAACAATAATTATCTAAAAATATTTACTTCATAATGATATAAATAAACCATACGCACCTCCAAACATTACAAAACAGATCATATATATTAACACTTAATCCGATGCATTGTCCATTTGGTTGTTATGTTATTATATTTTACATTAAAGATATTTTATACTGTCAATTGTCTACTAATATTATTGTATTTATATTATAGAAAAGTAATAAATATATTTAATTTGTATTATATATTTATATTATAAAAAATTAAAATATATATTTTTGTATTTTTTAATTTATATTTATTTATTAATATAATAATTAATATTCAAATTAATAAAAAAAAACTGCAACGGAGGGAGTATGATACTTAACTATAAATTTATTAAATATTTGAACTTATTGGAACTATAAATTTATTAAAAATTAAAGCATTTAACAAAACTTACCGACTCTTAAATCTTAATACTCCCACTCAACGTACAATTCAGGCTCGCCGGCGCCGGCGGTCGGTACTTCAGCGTCGGATTATACTCGAAGAAATTCGTCGGCTTCAGCTCGAACCCCAAGCTCAACGTCGGCATCACCGGAAAATCCTCCGCGCACGGCACGTGATGCACCCCCATCGTGTACCACACCACTATGTCACGGTTCTCGATTTCCCGATCCTCCGCCGTCCACGCCGCCAGTCCGTCCTCGCCGTGGCTCCGGTCGGCGTACATCCCGCCGGCCCACTTCTCCGACCGGTTGTACGGCGTCACCCACACATTATACCTCGTAAACGATCCCCGTATCTGCGGGTAGTCGTCTTCCTCAAGGAGCACCCCCGCCGGCGGAAAACCGGGGAGAATTTTGTAAGCTACGGCGTTTCCGACCTTCGTCTTCATATTCGGATTAGTCACCAGCAACTCACCGGCGGCGCCGTGTCGGACCTTGGCTTCCGACTCGCGCCTCGCCGGATTCCCGACGACTGTCCAGTAGCTCTTCCGCGGCGACCGACCGTCGTTCACACGGCGCGTTCGGAGCTCGTTCCGGACGAAAGTGTTGGCCTCGCCATCGACGTCGACGTCGAGGCGGAAGGTAAGGAAGTGGTCGTGGTACGCGCCGAGGAGATTCTCTGACAGCAGCTTCCCGTACTGCTCGGTGTTGATTTGGCCGGCGTTGGTGTACGGACTGCCGCGGACGGCGAGCAGACCAGAGAGTCCAGCCTGGTTTCAATGGCGGAAATTGAAATATTAGGGTTTCGAATTTGGGGGAAAAATTTAAAGCTACAAATTGTGCTTACAGTGACTTTAATGCTTCCCGTCTGCTTAAATTCCCAATCGATAATGTAATCGTAGTTCGCCACCGCTGCCACCATTCTCAGAACTAAGGTCCGGTCCGGCCGGCTTTCCGTAACCAGATCTCCGACGGCCTGTTCGGAGTGGCGCCAGAGGATGTCGCCGGCGTGGCGCTCAAACAAGCAGAAGACGTTCGGAATTTTGGTCGGAGTCCCGTCGTGAAACGCGAAATAGCCGTCGAGGAAGACGGCGTTCTCCGGGCAGTCCCGGAGAGGTTGCAGCGGGACGGCAGACTGCCCGAACCCCCACTCGCCATTGTCGAGGAATGCCCGGTAGTACCACTCTTCTGTCAAGTCCATGTACGGCACAAAAAGCTCTGAAATAAGGCCACTGTACATCACGCGCCGCCGCGTGTCCTGCTCGTGGTCGTACACCGACGCCAGAGAGATCACCGGCCCGGCGCGCATGTCGAATCCGACATGGAATTCCCAGTTCGCCCAGCTGAAATTGAATCGGAGATTAAACAAAGAAGGTAGTGAATAGTGATTAATCAGTAATTGATTGATCATAGATTGATCGATTGATCTTACCTTACTAAGCTGCCATTAATGGCGAAACTCGGACCGTCGGGCTGGTAGGTCGCGATGCTCTTGAAACGGTTATCGAACGACGGATTCTGCCGCGACTCTCTGTAATCTTTCCCGTCGGCTTTCGGGACAGGGATGACCGCCCTGTCGCGGTAGCCGGAGATTCTCATCTCGTCGAGGTCGACGACAATGGTGATTCCCTCAATCGGCCGCATGTAGAAATTAACCGTCCCGTTCAGGTAAAAGCACATCAATTTTACCTCTCTCCGTCGAGTCTCCTCCCCGAACCACCCGACGGTGAAGCTTCCACAGATCACTTCATCAATCAACAGCCCTCTCTTCTCCATGGACGCAATAAATGGCGGATACGTCTTCGGAAGCTCTTCAGATGCAACCTGCTCTGCAAAGGTGAGAATCGGGAATCCATGGCCGGCGTATACGTTATCGGAGACGACGACGTTTCTGTCGAGGTCGAGGACGATGTCGTGTGATTTGGTACCGGTACGGACGACGGCGTAGGCGCGGCGGTGGGGGGTGGGCTTAGATTGGGGATCGGAGAGCCATCGGAGGACGGCGGATTTGTCGGGGTCGTCGAGGCCGACGTAGTGGAAGGCGGCGGCGGGGTAGAGGTTGCGAATTGTGGTTTGGATTTGTGTGTATTCTGCGGGAGTGAGGGAATCGAAGGGGTGAATGGATTGCGAAGAAATTAGGGTTTGCAGAAGAGTGAGGAAGAAGATGAAGAGGAAGAAGAAAGGTCTGGGAATGGAAATGTGAAAGTCATTTGGTTGCTTCATTGTTGGATTCGCTGAGAAATATGAAGAAGAAAGTTGTTGTGAGTGATACGTGCATGCAAATATATATATAGAGAGAGAGAGAGAGTGAGAGAGACTGTTTGTTTGCGTTTTTTAATAATTCACAACACAAGACAAAACCAAAAATACTAAATCCAACTCCCAATTTATATTAAATCCAATGTTTTGAGTTTAAATCCGGAGGCTTTCAGGTTTATTTATTATACATTATTTGACTAATGTAACTTATTTTGTCGAACTCAATTCGGAGGGTATCAGGGAGTTTGAATTTACCCGGAGCGACTTGTCGGATAGCTGCCACATTATATATATAAAAAAATACAATGTATAGTTCAATTTTTTAATAAATTAAAATAATAATATTTTATTAATTAATAAATTTGTATAAAATAATTTAGATATGTATTTTTTAAAATAATAAAAAGTATTTGAATATAAATTATTTTTATTATAATAAAAAATATTACCTCCGTTCCGATGCAAGGTTGTCGTTTATTTTTTAAATAAAGATTTTTTAATATTAATATTATAATGAGTTGTAGTGAAAAAGACGAAAATACCCCTATTGGTATTGTATAATATAAAAGTAATGACATTTGTGTAATATAATATAAGTTGGAATAATATTTATTGTGTTAGGTAAATAGTACAATTACTAAATTAGAAAATAATAATTTTGTTTTTAAACGGACGAAAATAAAAAATGGCAACATTTCAATGGACAAAGAAAGTAAATAATTTTTTTTTATTATTTTTTTTTCAACTACTCTAATTTTAGTTTCGTAATATATGTGCATGCATTAAAATTCATACATGCATCGTGGGATCTATGTGCATATTAAGTTATCTAAAAATATAAAATTAAAATATACATAATGAATTAATTATATTATTTTTATTCTGTAATTGTTATCAAAATTTATCTATTTTAAACACAATACTCTCGTCTCAATACAATAGTCTTGTTTATCATTTTTGTTCATCCCAAAATAATAGTCTCATTTTCATAAATATTCATATCACCGTAAAATTATTCTTATTTTTTTATTATTATTATAATAGGTTTAATATTATCAATTTTCCAAATGTACCGCAGCGTAGATTCGATCCTAGGCGGGGTCGGTCTCTTTTTTCTTAATGTTGCTGGTCCTTTCCTATAAAAAGATAGTCCCATTGTCATTCTCATTTATTTTTAATTTATTGAGTTTCTTTGTTTTTTTTTTTTTAGTTTTAAGTTAATATATATAATTATTTAGTTAATATAATTTTTAATAAAAATATATTATTACTTTATAAATTATTATTTAAATAAAAAAATTCAAATTTAAACTAAAATTAAATTCATTGATTCCATTTAAATATATTTTTTAAGAATATTTAGAAATTTTCAAGAATAATAAAATATGAATATTTGACGCCACATTTTATAGGAATAAATTCTATATATTTTTAAAAATTTATTGTAATTGAATAATACTAAAAGTTATTTACGTAATACTGAAAATATAGAATTTTAATTTATTTACTTAATATTTTTTTTATCGAAGTAAATTTCTTTAACTTCTGTTGTATTTTAAAATTATTTCAAAAATAACAAATTAACATAAATATTAGAACGGTTTTTTATTTAATTATTTAAAACAAAATATTATATTTATAAAACTTAATTTAACCTTTTTTTTTAAAAAAAAATTGTCACAGTACAAATAATTATGAAAACATAAAGGAAAAAACAAATTTGTAGATATAAGGGGATTGAATTTTAAATATACTATTCATTTTTTTTTTCTTAAAAAAAAATATCAAATCAAACATCTATTTTTTTATTTTTTATATTATACTAAAAATCAAATTTATTTTCAAAACATCACATCAACACCTATTTATATCACATAATACAACTATTCAAATTCAAAATTTTTACTATTCAAATCCCAACTCAAAATCCAAACGATTAAATGTAATGAATATCCAAACCATTGAATTGTTGCCCATAGATGATCTAGTATTCTTCTAAAAATTAAATTAAAATAAAATAAAATAAAATATTGACTATATTTTTTTCGTTTATATATATAACTTCAATTAAATATATTTAGAATACGTACACATCAAAGATGCATAGAGATGTATGTCTTTGTTTATATTACTTACATACGTTACACTATATACTATAAATGTGTCCTTATTTATATTATTTACATTACATTCGCCTTTACTTTTCCGTCGGGCCTGGTTTGCAGGGTATTAGGTTCGGCCAAAGGTTTACCCAATGCGCACTTTCGGGTAGCTGCTGCGGTTCCCACATCATCCAAAAAATAAAAAATAAAAATGTGTCTTTGGTCTTATGAAATAATATACATAAAAAATAAAATTCATTCCATATTTCTCTCTAAATATATCTTCTTTTTATTTAATTATCTTTATTCAAATATATATATATATTTATATAAAAGTGTGTTTTTATTTAACACAAATTCTATTGAATGAAATTATGTTTTGAGTTTATAGATTATTTTAAAAATAAATACTTCCTCCGTCCCAATGTTTGGACACGTGATTTAATAAATATTAATATTATATTGATAGTGGGTAAAAAGTAACAATAAATGACTTTTTTGCCTTTATGAGTATATTAGTGTAAAAAGTAATGACAATTGTATAATAATGAAAAAAATATAGATAATTTTATAGTGATATGATTATTTATGAAAATTGGACTATTGTTTTAAAACAGACAAAAGTGGTAAACAAAGATTATTGTATGAGTAGTACTCTCTCTCTCTTCTTATAAAAGTGAGTATATTTTTATAAGGAGGAGGTAGTATAGTAAAACTATTAAAAATAATTTTAAACTCATAATTTATTTATTTTTAAAATATTTAAGTATTTTTTAATTCAGGTGAAAATTGTAATTTTAAAAAAAAATGAATAAATTGATAGACTAAAATGATAAAATAGATAAATTGTAAATCAATCCAGAAAATAGCTATATTACATTCAAACTAAAAAAAAAATAAAAGGATCTCAAATTTAATAGTGATGAATGTTAAATATGAATTTCAAATATTTTTTAACAAATAATATTAAACATAATCTTAAGTTTGTAAATTAATTACTCATTCAGTCCACATTTGATGTTTGGATCACTGTAGACACGAAAAAGATAACTAATTAATTTAATTAAAATTAAAAATTTTAAAATAAGATTAAAATGTATAATTATCTTTAAAAAAAAAAAGTAACATAAAATGTGGGACGAAGAGAAGCGGCAATGTGAACATTATAGGTGGGACGGAGGGAGTATTTATGATAACTGTGTGAGGTTGTTGTGCTTTGTAACCTCGGAAAATAGCCTTTTGGGCATTTTTATCACATAGTAATTCAAACACATTGCAGAAATTTATTTGCCTTGGAAATTTCGTAGTTTGACTCCTCCAATTTTCAAAGCAATATATTTAATTAATAAATTTTATTACGTCATAATTAAGCACGTTCCACGTGGCCATGCATCTATGGGCCCTAAATAAGGATACGTTTGTTTGTAGTTTTATACATTTTCGATATATTTTTACTTTTTTAAAAAAAAAGTAATTGTATTTATTAAATATTATAATAGTTTTAAAAAGTAAATTATTTAATATATCATAACAGCCCGTCTAGCTCAGTCGGTAGAGCGCAAGGCTCTTAACCTTGTGGTCGTGGGTTCGAGCCCCACGGTGGGCGTTAATTATTTTTATATTTTTTAAATTAAAATATTATTGACAAATAAGTCAACATTGAGAAAGTCAAAATCCCTAACTGAGCAGGCGTGTACAGTCTCCTTCTCTCTCAAAGTGCGTGCTGCCGAATCGATGCTTGGCAGAGATGGGATCCTGTATTGAACGAGAAATTAATGCATTCCTTTGGTTGTCACTGATCGCCGTCACCACCTTTTTGCTGGGGAGGTTGGGAAAGGTTTTTGGTTTATGGAGCAAAGCTCGGCAGTTACCTGGTCCGCCTTGCAGCTCGTTCTATGGCCACGGTCAACTTTTTTCCGGCACCAGTCTCACCGGTCGGTTGTTTGTGTACTTAGAGTATGTGTGCTGTAGGGATATTTGACTTGTGTGTGTACGTACGTGCATGGGGATTGATTTTTTGAATAACTATGAAGTTTTTGTAATTGTTTATGCTTTTTTCTGGTGAAAAATGGGAAGAATGAGGAACTGGAGCCTAACGTATGATGTTGCGTTAGATCAATTTAGGTTTTTATTACTGGTTTGCGTTTCGATCCATTGTCATCTGTGACCTTTTGGATAATCCTATTGTTACTGAAGTTCTTTTTATTGATTAATTTTGCCTACTTTCTTTGATATCAGAAATCTTGTATACATGCCATAAGAAGTATGGAGGAGTTGTGAAACTCTGGCTTGGCCCAACACAACTTATGGTCTCAGTTGCGGACACAGAACTTATCAAAGACGTACTCTTGAAGGCTGAGGATAAGCTGCCTTTGACAGGGAGGGCTTTTCGTCTTGCTTTCGGAGAATCAAGCCTTTTTATATCTTCCTTTGAGAAGGTTTGCTACGATGGATGACTGTATATCTTTTCATACTCATGCCAGTGGATTATGCAGACAATAATATGTTACTATTTAGCTTTCTTCTGTGTTTTACAATTCGATATGTGTAGAGCTTGTATATAATCTGAATTAGGATATCATTAAAAGTATGTGAAACCTTTGTTCTTTGTTGAGCTACGTATTATGGATACCTTTTCTGTCTGTTTGGCCTATAATTTGTGAAGATATTTACTGGGAATGATAAACATTATGATTCTACAACTTTAGAAAGTTGCGTGAGGATTGTTAAGCTTTTTTTTTTGTTCCTTACTATTTGTTTATAGATACATGAACATGAGTGTGTTTTCTTTTGTTTTTCTGCTATGCTGGTCCTACTGCCAGTCTGAAGTCTTCCTCTCCATTTTCCTCACATCATTCATTCCTTAGCACTCTGTTACATGTGAGTTCTCCTGATGAGTCATATCCACTCTTGGATATGAAGAGAAAAGTTTTATTTGCACTTTTTATGATTTTATGTTATTTGAGAGTTGGTAGGCAGAATATCAATGATGATTCTTCATCTGAGTGAGAGCAGCTTATGAATTTCCTGATATAATGAAAGCTTTATGCGGCCATATACCTGAATCCCAATTCATTAGCTAATTCTTTTGCCTTAGTACTAGACTGACTAATTACTTGGCCTAAATGCCTGCTTTGGAAATGAAATAGAAGAACTCAGCTAATGCGACCTGCAGTTTTGGGCTTGCAGAGTATGCTCTTCTCCTCATCCAAAAAGTGCAAGGGCTTCTTCTTCTACCTTCAAATAGCAATGAGAAACCTTATCTCCTCTACTTTAATTCATTACCAATAGATGTGCATATCAATGACAGTCAATATTATCCCAGCTCTTAAAATCCTACCATTGTTAACCTTCAGAATTTATTTCTTCAAATTTCATAAAATTATCCCTTGCATTATTGTTTGAATATGAGTTCTTTGTTTGTTTTCAGGTGAAATACCAGCGGAAATCATTAGAAGCAAGGCTTGGTGGTGCTACCTTACTTGAGAGGGCATGCTCGATTTCAACACAAGTATTGGATCATGTCGTAGAAAGGTCTCAAATTGCAACAGGCAATGGCGGTGTAGACTGTGAAGTTGTTGCTCAGCATCTAGCTTTTTCTATCCTAGGAACTACGATATTTGGAGATAAATTTCTGGTTTGGTCTAAAGCAACTGTTTATGAGGATTTGCTAATGAAGATTGCCAAGGATGCTTGCTTTTGGGCATCTTATGGTGTTGCTCCTTTTTGGAAACACGAATTTTGGCAATACAAGGATTCGTGTATTCAGTTGAAGTCCTTAACCCAAGAGCTTATCAAGGAGTGCAGACACACCTGCAAGTCAGAATTATTACAGGATTCTGGTGGTGATGGGGAGAGGGAGCATGAACCATGTGGGGAAATAATAAGTCTGATGTTTCATGGGTCTTTGACTTTGTCGGCTTTAATTGCTAATATCTTGTCAAGACTTCTGACACATAGACACGTACAGGATAAGGTGCTGTTCTTGAATTGTTAATATAATTTTATATACCTGATTTTGTAATATTTTGCATGACACCCTTGCTAATGTTTCCATTCCAGTATAATTTTGATACTTGATTGCTTTTCGAGAACATTAAGGCCTCAGCATTTTTTTTTTTTATCTAATGAGTTTTAAGGATGCATCAAGAATAGATAGGTGCCTTTTGAATGTATCCTGATACATGTTTCTTATTTCTCTATGGTTCTGCTACTCAAATGTTAAGAGCTATTTTTCTTGTTATGCATTATCCTTGGGATCCTTATATTTTCTTAGACCAGTGTGCACCATGCTAATATATCAACAACACATATAACAAGAGAAAATCACAAAGCAGTGAAACTAATGCACCATATCTAAGGCTTAATTTGCTGTGTTCTCACATGATTAAATTCATTGAAATGTTTTTTGATGAAGTGGTCTTGATTTTTGGACAGATATATTCAGAGATAGTTATGGCAAGAAAAGATGGGACTAGACCTGATCTGCAGACAATGGATGGGTTGCCTACTCTCTTTGCAACTATATATGAATCAATCCGCCTTCTTCCTGCTGGTCCACTTCTGCAAAGATGTTCTCTTCAACATGGTAATTAGTTTTTCTCTTTGAATCCATTGTGATGAAAACACAGCTCTGGATCCTTTTTCTTTTGAAATCTTATTCCAATACAAGCGGAAATCATTTCAGCCATCAACATGCATGCATCTTGGCTTGCACGCAGGCCCTAATTTTGAATCAACTATTGTAGATACATTATACCTGCAGTGTTTTTTGGTGTACATAACAAGCTTATCCGCTGCTGAGTGATGATGAGTAATGTCAAGGTCAGCATGTATATTTGCAGAACACCAAAAATCTGCTTGCATGGTATGTGGTTAAAAAAAATCGATAAAACAAAGACGAAAGTTTAAGAAAACCTTAATATAGAACAATGTTGTGGAATCCATTTAGTTCTATGAATTTATTCAGTGTATGATTACCATCACATTATAATTCTAATATTTAGATATCACATGTATTGTGTGATTTTCTTACACTTATATAGTTAAATATGTATATATATATTATATATATAGATAATCTCTATTACCAGTTTGATAATATTTGTTTGTGTGTTATATAAATACATATATTTTGGTTTAGCCATAAATAACTTAAACAACACACCATTGATTGTTAGTTATTTTAGGCACTGTATGCTTACATTGTGTGTACTTATACTGGTGAAAAGCATTGAAAGTTGGAAAACATAGTGTTGGGCCATGTTGAATTGTTGGTACCCAGTTTCTTATTAAAATTCAGTGGCTCATGCATCTCTATTTCTGTCATTGTTGAAGATTTGTGTCTGAAAAATGGTATTGTGATACCTGCTGCTGCAATTGTTGTCGTGCCCGTTCAGTTGGTTCAGATGGACAGTTTATACTGGGGAAATGATGCTAGCAAGTTTAACCCATGCCGTTTCCTTTCATTGCATGATGGAAAAACAGAATTTCTTACAGGTACATATTACATTTGGTATCTCTGCTGTCTACTTGTAATTAGGTGATAGATATTTTAACAATTCCTTCATTATGATGCAATACTTGGTAGCATCCCCTCATCGGCCAGGTGTGATTGAAGATGCCTATTTGACAGTTGTTGGAATTTTTACTGCAGTGTGATCATATCTATTTATATCATATAGTCTTCCATTGTACATTCTAAAAATTTTGTGGACCTTATCCATTATAGAACATCTCTCTAGATGTTGTTTACAACACTTGGTACTCGTGCCATGCAGTGCCAAATGAGTCTGAAGCCTTTCTTCCTTTCGGTTCTGGTGCACGTGTCTGTATAGGACAAAAGCTGGCTGTCCGAGCAATCTCATCATTGTTTGCCCCTCTACTTGAGAACTATGAGGTTTCTCTTCCTATTATTTCTGTTTATACTTCTCTTTGGCGATGCTCTTGAAATTATGGATACCCTTCAGACACAGTTGTAATCTATCAATATATGGAGATCAATAGTAATAGGTCGCATTATTTGCTTTCTTGATTGCTTGGTTTGAACACACTCTCACTATTGCAGATAAACCTTCAACCAGGATCTGAAAATAACCCGAAACCCGTGATGAATAATCATGTTCTCCAGTTTCTTCCAAGTCCCAACATAGTTTTTTCTAGAAGAAGCACCTGAGAATCGAAGGTTCGTTCATGTTCGTATACTACAATTAAATTTCATCTTTTTCGGCAATCCCTCGCCTTGCCATGCACATCGGATGCATGAATATACCTCGCATGCTTTCTTGTAGTTTTTGCGGCCCTGGTGCCTTCATGTTGTAATATCATATGATTAGGTTTTTTTCGAGCACTAGACCTCTGTACTTGGCCAGGTCTCCATGTTTTCTTCCCTGTTGTGGAAGTTTATCAACTTTTTTCTCTCCAGTGAGAGTTATTGTGTAATTTAGGCGAGGCCTGTATTGTTGTGGATATGTAGTATTAGATCGATGGCTATATACATCTTGGAGTCGCTTATTTGTGTGCGAAAAATGGCATATCTTTGTGTAAAGAATAAAGACATAAGCCAATTCAGTATATTTTATCCTGATTGCAGTTTCCTGTTGAATTTGATTTGAAATGGACATTAGAACATGGCATGTATTTAGGGAGGTATCATATTCAACCTTACCGGAAAGTCGAATTTTAATTTAGGACTCATCCCTACCTCACCATAGCACTGGGGTCTGAATTGGAGCCTCAAATACAAATATACCGAAGCTATGTATAACATCCATAAACTAGTTTGGGTTATAGAACCACAGCAACCCGACGATCTAATGGTGCAAAAACAAAGAAACTAACCTAATGGCATAAAACAAAGAATAATCCAAACTAGTTTAGGATCTACACAGAGGCATTAATCTTATACTTAAATATATCAATCATGCCTTCTATCGATGTGTATACGCATCCAAACTAGTTTAGAATAATCCTATGAGAGATCAGCACTTACCCCATGGCCTTGCGCTTGTCTCTAACTAATCTAACCTTCCTCGTCGTAGTCTTCCTCCTCTTCATCCAATCTTGAACCGAGTTGTGTAAGGTGGACAGGATCGATTGCCATCCTGTCCATTTCAGAAAGCCCCGGGTAATCCTCTCCTTTTACCTCGGATGGTCCGGCTGCTGCTGCAGCAGCTTTTGCCTCAGACGGTCCGGCTGCTGCAGCGGGCGCTGTTTTACCAGGAGCTTCCTCTGCTCCGGCGTTGAGGTCAAAATTCCGAGTGTCAGGGCCTATGATGTCCGCTACTTTGGTGTTTTCTTCTGTGGATTCCTTTGGCTCTGGGTTGCCCCCGATTGGCCTCCCTGGGCTTGTTACTTGTTTGCTGATTTGATGAGAATCGGTTGGGCTGGATGATCCGGCTTCAGTTCGAGGAGGGTCTCTGTCTGCTATTCTTGGCCGGCCACGGCCCCTCCCTCTACCCCTTCCTCGCCCCCTTGTACTGCTACTTGTGTGGCATGCTTCTTGCTGCAATTTCAGTACAGATAATTGACTCATAAACCAGAATGAGCTTTCACGATGTATCTCTGCTAGGAGAATCATACACCATAGACAAGCAGACATTTTCACTGTACTGTACTATTGTGAAGTTTAAATCAATAATTTGGCATCCAAAATGCTAAAACTGAACTAGGGGTAAGTGAGTGAGTTCATTTGATTCCAAAATAAATAAAATATACCATATGGCTCCTTTTGGACTCTTCATCACTCTCATTTGCTTCAGTGGCAACTACTTTCCTGAAAGTAACAGATTACCAGAGGTGGTAAGTGACAAATAATAAAAATGATTTAAGGATCAAAAAGGGTAGCGAAGATAAACAGGTAAGCAGATTTCTTGCCTTCTTTTTGATGCATCTCCGGCAGCTTCGGAATTTCCATAGTCAGGAACTTTGCTGACAACTTCTTTCAAGAAGTCAAACTCATTGTAGCTGTGTACGCAATGTTTTCTGCATGGAGAAATCGAATATCAGAAGCAGTAGCAGCAGGCCGTAGATGCCAAGAATACGGATGCATAACTTATGCTTATTTTTCGAAGAAAACATTTCCAAAGACTAATAGAGTTGAAAATTTTAACTTCCCCATGTCCTTCCTAACCAATTAAAACTTAAAAGTGTGTATATATATATATCTGAAAGTCCTGCAAACTTAATAATAATATGGTCTAAAATCAGCACCATCATCTTCATCTTACCATTTTTCCACTATATATACTCGGCTATATACTATGGCCTAGATTGAGAAGAATATCTAATGAAAAAAGCAAAAGCAATTAAAAAAAAAAAAAAAGAAAAGAAATAAAACATGACAGTATGGTGCATGAAGCATAATAGGCACCTAATCATTCATGTGTAATTGTAGCATCGTCTCTTTTGAGATGTGGAATTTTTTGAGGGGATGATAGCCGCTTGTATATTTAACTGGAATTCAAATCTAAGTTATATGCATTAACCTTACTTAAACCCGTATTTAAAATAGTATGCCTTGTACAAGATAGGCTTCCCCATGCCCCACATATCCAGAAATAATGATGCGCTATAAACGGTCGATCTAGAACCAAAAAATATCATCTATTGAGATGACTCATGATTGCATGCAAATCACTTGAAATAACAACACAGTTAAGATCTAAATGGTAACTTAATCCTATCAACAGTTCTAAAACCAGTAAAAGCGGCTCTGGAAGCTCTTCACGTCACCTAAAACTGCTAGATGAAAGTTTTGCGTAGTGATCATATATGACAAAATAAGAACAACAAAAATTTGAAAGATGCATGAATAAAGGTAAGATGCTACTCCACTGACAGGTGTAGCGAATTAACAGTCTTTGCTCCTCTCTGCACAGTTATGTCGTACGTGCGATCACAGAGATCTTGTAGAAATAATTCCAAAGCCTTAGCTGTAATTATATCGCAACAACGTAAATAACCATATCCTTTAGGCACAGCAGAATAATCCAACAAAAAGTTTATACATACACACTAAAATAGGTACTGCCATCGCGATCTTCCCAACATCCTCGTCAGCTTGCATGATCTTCTTAATACGAGCCTGACAAACACATGCTTCATTTATACAGTGGAAGAAAATAGTGGGAGTTATTTATAACTGGAACAAGATACTGACGGGTAGCTATATTGATCATATCCCTACATTCCTTACTTATCTGAACTCTCATACAAAGGTATGAAGTTTCCATAACACACAGTTTAGGAGAAAATATTTGTAGACCAGACAAGATAAAACTAATAATAGATTCTATCCAGCAAGAAAATATCAAACATAGATGAAGATGTCTTCCTACACAACAGTTTATATATAAACAAAAGCCTCCCTCCTGCTATATAGAAAATCCACTTCCATATAAATCAAGACAAATTCCTGAATTGAGCACCTATTCAACCACAATTAAATAAAACCTGATCATAAACATAATTCTAAACTAGTAATGGCATTTGATGGCTTAGGCTTTTTTAGTATCTCTGTCATTCTATTGAATTTCCATCAGTCTGAACTCTACAATACTTAAAGAGAAGAGAAAAGTAACACACTTGATAACACCTTTGCATCTCATAGGAGAATGAGAAAATTTTTGAGCAGAGCAGAATATTGAAGGGGAAGAAGTACATTTGACATCTTCATCTTCAAACATTACAAAAGAAAAGCAAAAATCTTATAGAAAACTAAGAACAACAACACAATTAAAATTCTCATGGAAGGAATTTCAATTAATTTCAAACAGAGGAACACGAAATCGCACGAATCACAACCACTGAATTTCGAACTCACAATTCATGCACAATTTCCTCAACAATTACACCAGAACAAAAACAAAACATAAAATCCATCCAAACTGGGAGCGGAAAAAGGAACAAAAAAGGAGACAAAACTTACAGCGGGGAAACGAGTATCGAGTTTCTTCCTCATGGCGCAATCAGATTTGCTCCACAACCATAACGCAAATCAACTCAAGACAGTAATAAACAAAACAGTCAAAACCGAAACGCCTGCCCTGCCCTAATTAAACCAATCAATCAGATCAGAAACGCAACGCAACACGACGCGACGGGATTAACAAGAAATTAATTGATCCACAAAACAATGAACCGCTCAGCTGGAATCTTAGGCTCAGATCCGAAAATCGGATAGTGTGGGTTGAATTTCTCGAAACGACCGTACCAATGGCAGCCAGAGAGAGAACAACCAACGTAATTTTTTATTTCTATTTCATTTTTCTATATTTGTCGTGTAGTGCTCTCACTTGTTTTTGCCCTTTGTGTTTTTATAGAAAAATAGAAATTTTTATATATTATTTAAATTTATTTTTATATTTAATTTTGAATATAAATATTGATGTTTTATTTAAATTCTAATTTGAATAATATGTTGTTATATTTTTAAAGAAAAATTAAATACTATATTTTTATCATGAAGTGATTATAATTTTAATAATACTTTATATGTTCAATTGTAAAGTTATTATTTATTCTTGTCGGTTACAAAATAAGGTTATCATTACTACATACTCGACATAATAAATATATTTTTAAATTAAAGTGTATTATACAAATGATGTTACTTTTATATTTCATTCGTTTTTTTCCATTATAATCCATTATAATATTAATATTAAAAAATCTATATGCAAAATAGTAAACGACAAATTTGCACCCGGATGGACGGAGGAAGCATATATTTTTTATTTGCAATTTTATTTATATTTTTTCAGTTATAATATTTGTATAAATTATATTTTAAGAAATTATACAAAACTAGTATTATATGAAAATTCTACTTTTTAATTATATTTTACTTCCTCCGTCCCACGTAATTTGTCTTTATTTTTTATTTTTTTGTTTCACGTAACTTGTCTTTTCTATTTTTGGAAATATAATTATACACTTTAATCGCATTTTAAATTTTAAATTTTATAATTTTTTTAATTTTAATTAAACTATTTACTTATCTTAATTTTAATCTATAATTATTTTTACTAAATAATTATTATTTTTACTAATATACTTCTTAATTACTTACTAATTATACTTTACCTGAATTTTCGTGTCTACAGTAGTACACTCATATTACAAGGGACGGAGGAAGTATAATTTTAAGATAATTTCAAATATTCAAGATATACATTTGCCAAAAAAGCATCTTTGGTCGGTGATTTATTCATAATAGAGAAAGAAAAAAAGAATTATGGACAAAAGGTAATAGAGAAACACAGAGGAATATGTAGGGTTTGTTTGTTTTATGTTTTGATTTAATTTGAAAGGAATTTTTTTTATGCAAATTTTTTTTTTATAAATAAAATAAAAATAATAAAAATATATAATATATTAATTTTTTTTAAAAATATATTAAAATTTTTCACAAAACATTGAAGTGATTACAAATATAGAGAGAGAAACATGTATGAATTATTTGAAGTGAGAAAAATTTTATTAATATTTTTTTTAGAAAAAGTGTCACACAAAAAATTATATTGTGGAAACGGCTTAATTTAGGTTTTTTTTTTTAAATTTTAAATTTTTATTTTATGTATGTAAGAGTGTGTTTTTTTTATTTGATTTAAAAAATTTAAGTTTGAATTTAATATTAAAATAATATATTAAAAAATTTTGTAAAGAAAAATAATGGTGAATAAAGAATATATCCTTAATACGGAGAGAAATGTGGATAAATGATTTGGAGCGAAAAAAAAAAAAAAAAATTATTTGTTTCGTTTCGATTATCGTATATCTATTTACTGTATACAAGACAAAGACGGTAATTTAGAAAGAATATAATTAATAAATAATTAAAATTATAACTGATTAATCTAATTAAAATTAAAAATATATAAATTAAATAATTGAGTTTCTTTTTTTCGTTATAGAACTAAAAATAAGAAAGTAAATGAGATTAATTATTGTTATTATTATTATTTTGATCCCATGCAAAAAAATCATTAAAATTAGCACGGATTGAAAAAAAAAAGATTAAAAATGACCGAAAAATGTTTGAATGAGATTAGTTTTAATAGAAGTTTTTATTTTTATTTTTTGAAAAAATAATGAGTTTCAATGGTATTAATTTTTTCTTGGGCAATAAACATGATTATAAAAAAAATAAATTAATAATATAATATAAAAATATTATGAAGGGTCGGGCTCCGGGCCGGGCCGCAACCGGACTCAGGATCGATAACACCTTCCATGTTTCTCGTTCGGACTAGGAAACCTCGAGGTCTGGTCTTACCCTTCATCCATGGCGGACCGGGCTCCACTGCCTCGCAAGCCAGTGAACCGACGAAGCTATTTCTCTTCCTCAATTAGCTCGGAGGATTCTCACCAGCGAAGATCAAATTACACTAGCTCTAGGGTTTCTCAGGAAGCCTCGAGGAGAAATTGGGACAGTGGGGATAGCTACGTGACTGATAAAGAGGACGCCGATCGTACTTTTTCTACCTTAGCGGGAAATTGCCCTTTTATGTGCCCTGGTTCTGTCATCATACTCATAACTATATATATGTATGCATACATATATATATATATACACATATATATATGTAATATATTACATTCGTTATTGGATCAAGTTTAACTTTAATTTCCGTGTGATCTTGATTTGAATCTTTGATCTGATGCGTGTTACAGTCGAGGAGAGGGCGAGGCGCGAGAGGCTTCGGGATTTGGCTGTATTTGAGAGGCTCCATGGAAATCCTGCTAAAACTTCAGCCAATCTTGCAGTAAAAAAGGTGTCTTCCGTTTCTCCTCTTCAAACTGAGAGTATATACGACTAGTTTGAATATATGATGGGATTTATGGTATTCTTGTAATTATCTAATAGACGGAGAGGTTTTACTTATGTCAATGAAAATATGATCAGGTTAAATTTATACCTAAAACAATTCAGCCAGTAAATATCACCTGTGTTGAAAGAAGTGTTCTTTCAATTCTAGGAACTACTCGTTGGTGGTTTAGATCATATATTTTCGGATAGCAAATGCAATCAAACGGCACTTTCAATGATGTTGACATTTAGAATGCTTTCGATCTAATTGAAAGTCGAAAAGAGGAGTGCATCAAAATAGATATTGTAATTTGTAATTACTAAAGACACGGAGCATGTATATTGACTACATGGAGACACTGAAAAGAGAATGGGATCATATTAAGACAGCAATGATAAAACAGCTCTTGAAATGGTTGTGGACAATGCCTTTAAATACAAATAAGAGCCCAAAACCAAATCTAACAGTCATAGGTATTACGTTCAATTTGATGCTGTTAAAGAATATTTGTAATTTAAGTATGATTTGATGAGCAATAGTCAATAACTCTTTTTGGTCAAACAACTTCTCTTAGTCACTTGTAACTGAATCTTGTTAATTGACAAAATATATAGAGACAAGATTAAATAATATTATATTGTTTATTGTGAGTAACTTTTTGTTTTGCATTTTATTGTTCTGTTAGTTCTGCAGGACTATAAGCACAAAAGATGTGAAAGCTTCTGATGTGCGGCCTGTCTCAGTTTTGGAAGGGACTCTAGATTATCTCCTCAGTTTGCTGCATTCTAGTGGTCGCCCTTTTGAAGTGGTTCATGATTTTATATTTGATAGAACACGGTCCATCAGGCAAGATCTTAGCATGCAAAATGCTGCCAGCCCTCAAGTTATACGCATGTACGAAAGAATGGTATGGATATGAATCAACTCTTTTTGTTTACTTGCTGTTTTTATCGTTAGATTCTGCAAAGCCATAGTCGGTTTTGTTTCATTGACTTAACAGTGACATATAATTGCCATCTTTGAAGCAACCGTGCCAGGTAACTATATATATTGCACAGGCCTCGTAAGAAAAGTAGAACTGTTAATAAAGTTGATGGAGTACCTTGCTAATGCTGATAAATTACAAGGTTTATTACAAAACCGTGTTCCTGGTTATGCTGAAATTGTTTATATATTTAAGTATTGTGTTTCACAGGATTAGTAACTGGATATCTAACATGTTTGGTTTTAGTAACCCTGAAATTTCGTTTGTATGATAAGCTGCAAGTGGCTTCTTTTGGAGATTCTTTGTGATTGAACCTCTTGATGCTTCTGCTCAATGTGCCTTTCAGTTTCAAATTTGGTACAATATTTTATTTCTTGCTCACAGGTCACGTTTCACATCATATCACACAGCCAACTTCATAGGTCTTGTGGGAGTCCAGATATAGCTTCTATGTGTCACCTCAACTTGGAGCAGCTCATGAAAACTCTGGCAACTTTGTTAAATTTGTATGAAGTAAATCGAGTTTCACATTCTGCTTCTCGAAAAGAAGCTGAGTTTTGTTCGTTCTATCTTCTCCTCCGTTTAGCATCAGACAACCAAGTAATACTAATTCTCTTGATTGCTACCCTATAAAAGTTTTTGCATTTTCTCATGTTGCGTTTTATGGTTAATGAATTCTTGAATTGCTTGTTTGACAGGGTGAACCCTTGACATTGTGGATCAGTCGGATTCCTTCTCCAATCCTGAAGTCAAAAGAAATGTGTTTCGCCCGGGGAATATTAAGGTAAAAATCACTTTATACCATGTTGCTTTTATTTCTTTCCATGTTCTTTTAAAGTATAGATATATTATAATATTTCTATCCCAAATATCCAATTCATCTCTATTTATACAGTTTATACTCTTCTATGTACAATTTTTACTAATTTATAAAAACATCCCAAGGACCCAAACAAAAAGTGAAGGCAAAATAGACTGAAATCTATCTAAATTACACGAAAGTAAGAATCTGTGCTGAAACAAGAACTAGAATACATTATGGAGAGGAAGCTGTAGTTTTCCATTTGACATTCATTTTTTTTTAATATATATTTTTTATAATTTGTGGTTTAAGCAGATATTATCGCTTGGGGAACTACAAAAGATTTATTTTAACTATAGAAGAGGAGGCATCCTATCTGCAGTATTGCATTCTTGAGCCTTACATCAATGAGGTTTTTATCTCTCTATTTCGTGTTTTTAATTGTGGAATTCATATGCATGCATCATATCCAACCATCGTTGTTATCAAAGCGTGTCTGTTACTGGAACAGTGGGTGGTTCTTAAATTAGTGTTTCTGGAAATCACAGGAAACTACTGTCGTAAGATATAGTATTTAGAAAATTACTGGATATTCCTACAGGTATATTTCCTATATTAGTTATTGATTCATATCTTTTATATCTTTGAAATGGGAAGTTTCTTAGGATTTATGCAGTGATTGATTTTGTCTAACATTTGAAGGGTAATATACTTTTTACACTGTTTGCCAAGTTAACACTACACTACCTTCCATCGTTTAGAAACATTCAAAACATGACATCAATATTTATTTATATCATATCAAAAAACGATTTCAATTTAAAATTCTACTATTCAAAACCCAAACACAAAATTCAAACCCCCAAACAAACACACCGAATGATGTTCTTAAGAATTAAGTGTTGCAATGTGTTCATTTTAGTCTATGCCATTTTGGTTGCTCTGAGTTTGTCTCCCAGCATCCTTTATGAATTCTTCAGAAAGTTATTATTGTTCTTGACTGCTTGTTTTTGTGTATAGTCCACCGACGGTATTAAAATATTATCTTCAGGTGGTTTCTGACATATTTAATATATCATGTTTCCTAGACCTAATTTGTCGTTATCTTGAAACTTGACTGTATGAAGGTACGGATATTGGCGTTATCTTGTATCATTCATGGAGGATATAAGCTGCAACCGTATCCACTTGTTGACTTATCCAAGCTTTTGATGATGAAGGTTAGTCGTAGCCAGTTTTGCGGCATGTACTTTTACCTCAAAAAGAACATAACATAAAACTAACGCTTTCAGGAGTCAGATGTTGAATCTTTGTGCACTGATTGTGCTCTCGAGTTAGCTAATGATGGAATTGGAAAAGGACTTGTGTCAACCAAGCAATCAACTATGAGTAAACCCTCGGGAGGGTTCCAAAAGTACTATCCGATGGATTCAGAACGACTAGAAAGGTAGCTTTTTAACTTTCCTTCTTGTATCTGAATGGATATTGTTGATTCCTGTGTTCTTCTAATATTAAATAGAAATTATCCATTTAAGCAATTCGAAATATCATTAACTATTGCAATCATCCAATCTTCTTTGGAAACTTGCAACATGCGAAAAATACTTCATTTATGTGGTTCTCCACCATGTTGCTCAATTTGGCGTTGCATGCTAACAACAAAGTTGTATTACTTGATGACTTAGAAAGGTCTGTCCAAAATATTCTCCCAGTTAATGACACAATTTTTTGATCAGGTTATGCGCTGGGAAACTAGAGCTATAACAATCACATGGGATGCCATAATTGGCCCTTGATGAGTCACTTAACTAGAAATTCATTCTCAAATTGAAAGAACCTAGATGACGCCACCATGATACGTGCTCTTCTACATATTTCTGACTAGTCTTATCCGCTTACCCTAAGACATGGTGGGTGGGGCACTTCACACTAACCAACAATCTGTATATATGGAAGATGGTGCTGGATTGCAGGTATTTGTTACCTAGTAATATGTTTAACAGTAGCAGACATGGTGATGTATTTGTAGTTAGAGAGCAATTATGTACGACAACCATAGTGTGTCATATGATTCATATTATTGGTGTTTCTGGAGATCATATTGTTTACATTTCCTATATTCTTTAGATTCGTGCATCTGTGGATCCATATTGTGAAATAATTTACTGTATTTTACAACCAGGGCAAGATTTAGTATTGTGCCATATGGTCAATCAATGTATGCTCTGAGTGTAGGGACATGCTGTGGCTGCGATCCAGTCCGGTTGTGACAATCGTGGCATGGCTCCGGTTGGGTTGTGACAATTTGATAATCATCATTGGTTTCTCACCAAGGTACTATTGTTAACATTCCACATTGAGTTTGTTTCTGACGGGGGCTTTTTTTAGAATATGCTATTTTATGGAGTAATATCTGATAATGCTAACTAGTTTGTTTGTAAAATCATAATTCAATACATCACGTGGCGTTCTATGTGGATTTATGGTAGCTCTCTATATAGCAGGCATGAGACATCATGTTATGCTACTCATGATTTTTTCTATTACTAATCTTAGCTTTTCTTTTTTTTTTTTGTTGTTCTTTAAATTTTTGGGAAACTTTATGGTAAATTCAGCATGTTGGAGGCATTAATTTTTCTACTAGTAGTCTTGACTTCTCTTATGTAGATTTATGTTAAAGCCTGTATGTAGTAAGCATGAGATATTATGACACTTATGATTTTTTTCTACTACTTTATCATGTCAGTGGTTTATATTGCAGTAGAAATAGAGAAACTAAGAATTTTATACTACAATTTATTTGGACATGGCTAAAATAATCAAGCTATTTATCAACGTATTAATTTAGATATGTAGAAACTTGGCAAGCATATTGCCTCAAACGTTATTTTTTTAATTTTTTTTTTTTTGTTATTATGTGAGGACTGAGGAGTAAGGATTTGTAATTGATATGCACTTTTCTAACATCATAAGGGTATTGTAAAAGAATTCCATTTGAATGTTAATGTACATAATTTCTTCTTCCTTTAATTTTATACAAGAGTGTCCTTTAAATTTAGCCTTTTTCTTTTTTAACTACAAGTTACTTTAAAAGGTAAATAGCAGATCATTTCTTACAATATAAAATTTGCACATTTCTTATGGCAGGCACAAGTGTGAACTAATATATAATAATTTGAAGTTTTCTATTTTTTAATATACTCATTTATTTTGATTTATTATTTGAAATTTATATTAGGATTTACAACATCTGTATTAACTATTATGTTTATTTTCATGAATGGAGTAATTTTGATGTAATAACATATATATAAAGATAAATAGGTATGAAAGATGAAGTGTTAGAAAATGTATTTCTGCAGATTCTCAGGTGGTTGTAATTCCAACACAACTCTAAAGTAAAAGTCATGCGGTTGCACTCTGCCGATAGTTTGTGTGAAATTCTAGTTGTCTTATACTTTTGAGCATGTGACAATTGTTGTGTTTTAAGCATAAAACGGCAATTAATTGAAGTGAAACAAGATCTGACACATGAAGAACTAATGGAAGGCTTTGAACTCGTCGGAAGATGCATCACTGCAAAGAGAACTTGTCCCAAATGAGACAACAACTATTGTTACAAAATTGGCAACAAAGGAAAAAAAGACCTGTTCGATTTGGCATTTTGAGACGTTTAGGAAGGTGTTTTTAATGCTTTCAGGTGTTGCCTACCTGCAGGTCGGTGTATTTAATGTATCTTTGATGGAGGTCAAGTTGGTTAAAGTAGTTTTTGATATTTGTAAGATGTGTGTACGTGTACTTTTGGCTTGAAGCCATATGCACGTCTTATCTATATTAGAGAGTTTTGAGATAGTAGGAGCTGTCTACACATTCAATTCTCTGGTTTTTCTTGTTGCTCTCCTTCATGGAGAAATTATTTTGAGAGAGATATGATGGTCTAAGACTCTGAAGAAGTGACTCATTCATTTACAAAAAATTTGTAGAGAGAAGAATTTTATTGTAAGAGAAATGACTTCAAGAGCAATTCAAGAAGTTCCCTAGTCTGAATTGGATTGTCAGTTTGCTATTGTTGTGGTCTTGCAGGAACAACATTAGTTTCTAGTGCATAGGTAGATTCATAGGAGATTTTTGGTGAAGATTTTCGGAATGAAACTTAGGTTGTTGGTTGATATGTTCTTAGATGCTGGATGAAGTATATAATGAATAAGACCTTGATTAGAATCTTCTAGTACATTGCTCAAATGTAATATTGTATGTGATGTTTTGTAAGATAGAATAATATATTTTTATCGAAAATTTGTAGAAGTTGAATAGTAGAAATAATAGAATATATTGCCAAATAAACAGGGAAAATTTCATGGAAGAATCTTACATCTATGAATTGACTTGGTCATCACTTGTCCTTTTCCTCATTGTACATTTCCCTTCAGCCATTTGCAAATGCCACAATTCATACAAATATCACTATGTATACAATCTTAAAAAATTATTAGTTCTTTACCTAATCATCTCATCTCTTACATTATTAAAATCTGCTCCATTTCCTTTTCATCATAGTTTTTCCTCTTTCTGTATTATTATTCCTTCCTCTCCATGATTTTTGACTTCTGAGCTTCACCTCCAACCCCTCCATTCAACCTCAAAGACATCCCCTTCATGGGACACACAAGGAAGCCCTTAACTGATGAGTATGAAGTGTCCGAGGTTTTGGGTCGAGGAGGATTCTCGGTCGTAAGAAGAGGAAAACACAAGTCTACCTCCATTAATGGAGGCACTCCCAAGGATGTTGCCATCAAGACACTCAGAAGACTCGGCCCCATTGCCATCCCTACTGTGTCTTCCAGTCCAAATGCGAAAAACACTGCCCGGGCAGCCAAACAGGCTCTTGTATCAGATGCTCTTCTTACTAACGAGCTTGTGGTGATGAGGCGTATAGTCGAGGATGTCCTGCCCCATCCAAATGTGATCCATCTCTATGATGTCTGGGAGGACAGTGGCGGTGTCCACCTGATCCTCGAGCTCTGCTCTGGTGGGGAGCTTTTTGACAGGATAGTGGCGCAGGCTCGATACAATGAAGCCGGCGCTGCTGGTGTGGTCAGGCAGATTGCAGCAGGGCTTGTGGGGCTGCACCAGGCCAGGATCATCCACGGGGACTTGAAGCCTGAGAACTGCTTGTTCTTGAACAAGGATGAGGATTCCCCCTTGAAGATTATGGACTTCGGGCTGAGTTCTGTTGAAGATTTTGCCGACCCTGTTGTGGGGTTGTTTGGTTCAATTGATTACGTCTCGCCTGAGGCATTGTTGCGCGATAAGGTTACGCCAAAGAGTGATGTTTGGTCACTTGGTGTCATTCTTTACATTCTTCTGTCAGGGTGAGTTTTCTTGCTCGAGACTAGCTATGTTTTTCTTTGAGAATTCTATGTTTGATGCAGTGAATCATGTGAGAGTAGGAGGATCAGGGTAGGATTAGTAGAATTGAAATTGACATGTCTAAGGTTTGCTTCTAGGAACATGATGATATGTGTTTGTTCTCACCAGGTATCCTCCGTTTATTGCGCAATCGAACCAACAGAAGCAGCAGATGATATTAAATGTACGACGCTCTTCGATAAACATAATTGCCTGCACTCATTGCTCTGATTTCTGTTATTTTCCGTAAACTGATTAGGAACCATTCATGTAATGCAGGGGCAGTTCAGCTTCTATGAGAAAACATGGAAGAATGTCTCCTCATCTGTTAAGCAACTCATCAGCAGTCTCCTTAAAGTCGATCCCAACTTGAGGCCGACTGCTGATGAGGTTGGTTTGAGGCATGCTTAGATTTTGTCTTCCAATGGTGTTTGATTCAGACAACAGGACTGATCATTGATTTCTGTCTGAAACTGTTGCAGATTCTTAGACATCCTTGGGTCACCGGAGACTTGGCGAAGCAAGAGCAGATGGATGCCGAGATTGTCTCCCGGCTGCAGAGCTTCAATGCTAGGCGTAAATTTCGAGCAGCTGCTATGGCAAGTGTGCTGAGCAGCAGCTTCTCGTTGAGGACAAAGAAGCTCAAGAATTTGGTGGGGTCTTATGATCTAAAACCCGAGGAGCTTGAGAATCTCAGCACGAGCTTCAGAAAAGTGTAAGAAATAAAAAAATCAATTATCATCGCTTTCTTTGGACATGATCCGATGACATATATTCGGGACTTGGGTATGCAGATGTAAGAGTGATAATGCGACACTGCCTGAGTTTGAGGAGGTCTTGAAGGGAATGGAAATGCTATCCCTTGTGCCATTAGCTCCTCGGATTTTTGACCTGTTTGATAATAATCGGGATGGGACTGTCGACATGAGGGAAATCATAGGAGGGTTCTCAAGTCTTAAGTACTCAAAAGGCGACGACGCTCTTCGCCTTTGTTTTCAGGTTCCTTCTATTTCTCACTTCTCGACATTTCGAATATGCCAATGATGCGGTAATTCTCTATTATATCGTATTTATGCATATACATTTTTGTTCTAGACGCCTAACGTGCAAACATAGATCTTTTGATAGCATCATTTGCGATATATTTTCCAAAGTACACGAAGATGTAAACGAGTTGAACATTAGATATTAGACCTTTTACTCTTTTTAAATGATGTGCTTGTATCTGGTTTTCCATTTTGATTCCTCTTAAATCAATATAGCTATTGTTTTTTTTTAGTAATTGTACTGTTCTGTTAACTTTAAAAATAACTTTACAATTTACGAAATACTACAAAAATATCATTACATTTATTTATTTAGCTAAATTATGAAACATATAAGGGTAAGAATTTCTTTTTATCTACTCTTGTACTACATCTATATATATATATATATATATATTAATTTTATTTAAAAATCTATATGCAAAAAAGTAAATTGTTACATTGATTTGGGATGGGGTAGTATTTGCTTATCTTTATATTCCTTTATATGTAATTCCTCTTTTAAATCTTGCAATTAATGGCGCGCGCCGTTCATTAGTTCTGAGTAGGATTGAAGCAGACCGATCGAATTTCTTACATGCTAAAGCTTTAATTTGCCGTTGAAACGAACTCTTAACATAAGAACATTTTGGTCTTGTTCTTTGTTGTTGCTTAGATGTATGACACTGACCGATCGGGTTGCATAAGCAAGGAAGAACTCGCATCGCTTCTAAGAGTAATTCATCTCCACGCCTTCGGATTAGCCTTATTTTGTACTATAATTGCACTGCCCGTGTATTAGTAAGCTTCATCCATATATCACCAGTTTCTTCTTCACATGCATATGTGCGCAGGCATTGCCCGATGACTGCCTCCCGATTGACATCACAGAGCCCGGAAAGCTGGATGAGATATTCGACTTGATGGATGCCAACAACGATGGAAAAGTTACTTTCGAAGAGTTTAAGGCAGCGATGCAACGGGACAGTGCGCTTCAAGATGTTGTCCTTTCGTCGCTACGCCAAAATTAGACCGGTATTTATAGTCATACGATGGTTTGGCTTTGAGGTAATATATCTTCGTATTAATATGTAACTCATGTTGAAATTGTTTTTGAGTTACATTTAACTATATAGAAAATATCTTGAATCATATATTGAAATATATTAAATCACACGAAGTATTAGATCTCATTGAATGTTGTAATATAAATCGACGAGGACGTCGATGCCTCCGTCTTACGCCCATCCATCCCCGACGTTTCCATCGCGAGCGGCCTCGCGGCTCAATTCATCATCGAAAGTTTCTTCGATGTTGTCGTTGAATGGGCTCAAGAGATCGCTCCAAAGGAGTGTCGGGTAATACGGCCGGGTTGATGATGCTTGGGCACATCTCCCATGGATGGTTCTCCTCCGGCAATATCAACGGTTGTGAGTTGCCCGACTCTTATCATTTATCAACACCAACTTGGGCTTGACGCCGCTCACCAGGACCCCTTCCCTTCCTTGTTGGCGGCGGTTGTGCGCATTTTGCACTTGTGGATCTTCGAACACCGGAACCACATCTGTATTCGGCATTTCCCCGTATTTTGCCTCTAGCTCTCCGCATAGATTTCCTTTAACTTGTCCAGATAGTTGCTTATGTGGAAGTTAGTCATGGCTGGTCATAGGTTCAAATCTTCGATGCCTCAAGGTCATTTGTCCACACATGGTACATCTAGTATGATTTGCCTAGTTTGCAGAGTATTAGGTCCGGTCAGGGGTTTATCCAGTGCGCATTTTCGGGTAATTGCTTTTGATTCCTACGTTATTAAAAATAAAATAAAATTATGTACGTCTCGTAAAAGATGACTTCGTGGTATGATGATGGAGTTATGAGGTCATGGGTTCAAATATTTACACTTACAACATATAATATATATATATTAATATTTGCTGAATTTTTACTGTGTACATCTATATATATAAAAAGAAAAGACCTTATACATGTATATTATACACATACGAATTTTACATATCATTGTTAAATCTTATTTGGGATTGCATGAAGCCCATTTTAACTAGTGGAGTTTCTAGTGGGCCTTTAACTAGGTTGACTTTCTATTGACCAAACATTTATATCTATATTTTTTTGGATTGTGAGAGCCATTTCTTAAATTCAACATTAAATAAATGATCGGAATCGCAATAATCTACAAATTATGTTAGAAGACTACGCTAGACTAGCCTTGTAATGGGAGTTCTATAGACAAAAAAAAAAAAAAAAAAAAAAAAAAACAAGTGTAGACAGAAATCGACAATACATAATATATTATATATATTGAAATCGTATCGGCAAAAAAAAAAAAAATAGTGGAAAAACACACATTTTGTTCGCAAATAATTATCCACGGTATAGACTTATTTATAGGCAGACATGAAAAGTTAAGTGTGGTAAATGATGCATCTACATATTTACTAGGCAGATGTATATTTCGACTGCATACATAACATCCACATAAGGTGTGTTTGTTGGGGCGATTGATTTTAAATACACTATTCATCTCATTTTTTTCCCTCCAAAAATATCAAATCAAACGCCTATTTTTTATTTTTTATATTATACTCCCTCCGTCCCAAAACTAAATATCCATTTGTTTTTTCACGTAGTTTTAGAATTATGAGTATTATATTGGAATATAGTAAGAATAAAGTAGAAATGACTAAAATAACCTTATTAGTATGTGTGATATAAAGGTAATGGCATTTATGTAATATATTGTAAGTTGTAAGGGTATTTGTAATGTTAGGTAGATATTACAGTTACTAAAAAAGGAAATAGATATTTTGTTATGGGACAGACTAAAATGGAAAAATGAATACTTTGTAAGGAAGTACTAAAAATCAATTTTACATTCAAAATTTCACATCAACACCTATTTATATCACATTATACAATTATTTAAATTTAAAATTTATACTATTCAAATCCCAACTCAAAATCCAAACTCCCAAACAAATACTCCGCTGTAGTGTACAGATATGTTTTATATGTACAACAGTTCAATGTTAGTTCAATTATAGAATCAATATGTATAAACTTATTAACATCGATGGTTTCATCTCAATCTCAATCTCATCGCAATCCCAACCCCAACCCCAACCCCAAATCCAATCCAACAAACACATAAAAAACTTGGGATTCAAATAACATTACAAACCCAAGCTAGGCATCGCTACAAGCCGATGCCCGATCGAGTCGGCGAGGATGTTCCATCGCGAGCGGGTTCGCGGCTCAATTCATCATCGAAAAGGTCTTCGATGTTGTCCTCGAACGTTTTCCCATCAATCCAATCGATGGGCTCAAGAAATCGCTCCAAAGGAGCGTCGGGTAATATGGCCGGATTGATGATGCTCGGGCACATCTCCCATGAATGCTCTTCCTCCGGCAATATCAACGGCTGTGTGTTGCCTGACTCTATGAACACCGACTCGGGCTTGATGCCGCTCGACGGGACCCCTTCCCCATCTAGTTCGCGGTGGTTGTGCACATCTTGTACTTGTGGATCATCCGATGCTGGATCCACATCCTCCGTATTCGGCATTTCGCCGTATTTTGCCTCTAGCTCCAGATAGATTTCTTTTAACTTGTCCACATAGTTGTTTATGCGGAAGTTAGTCACAGCATTCGGCCTCCGGTGCTTGATGGCCACCAGGTCATATGTTGCCGCCGCCTCTTCTTGTATAGAATATACTAAACAAATATTTGCGTAGAATTAATAAAATAAAATTTCAAAAGGCATGGTATAAGTTTCCTTATATAGATATTTGTTTCCCAATTTGAGCCTCCTACCGACCGTTGTGACGATGTTTTTTGAATTCAAAATCGATGATTACATACCAACTAAAAAAAATAGTCATATGCAATAAAATGAACATTCTTTTGAAATGTACTGACAAAAAAAAAAAAAAAAAAACTGTCGTATTGCGACAAAATAAACATTTTCTTGAAAAGTACTGACAAAAAAATAAAAACTTAATCGCATTGTGACAAAATAAAAATTCTCTTGAAAAGTACCGACAAAAAAATAAAAAATTAGTGGCATTGCGATAAAACGAACATTCTTTCGAAAAGTACCAGCAAAAAGAAAAAACAAATTAGTCGTGTTGCGACAAAATAAACATTCTTTTGAAAAATACTGACAAAAAGAAAAAAAAATTAGTTGTGTTGCGACAAAATAAACATTCTTTTGAAAACTGACAAAAAAAAATTAGTTGCATTGCGACAAAATAAATATTCTCTTTTAAAAGACCGACAAAAAAATAAAAAAAAGTGGTATTCCGACAAAATAAACATTCTTTTGAAAAGTATCGACAAAAAAATAAAAAATTAGTGGCATTGCGACAAAATAAACATTCTCTTAAAAAGTACCGACAAAAAGAAAAGAAATTAGTTATGTTGCAACAAAATAAACATTCTCTTGAAAAATACTGACAAAAAAAATATAAAAAAATTAGTCGCATTGCGACAAAATAAACATTTTGTAACGACAAAAAACACTCACAATGCCACAAAATGAATATTTCCTCAAAAAGTTGTAAATATAAAAAGTGATGTATATTGCAAAATCAATGAAACTTTCTAAGTATAAATTCACATTAAAACCATGATATTCAATCATCATACAATAAATCACTCCTTACGAACGCAGCACAAATTAATATTAATATTGTCGATATAATTTGAAATTTTTATAGTAGCTTGAAGCAATCAACATTTCATTACAAAAAGACAACATATATTGTATTATAAAGAAATCAAAATTAAAGAAATCAACATCATAATAACCAAAACGTCAAAAAATCAAAGTTACCTAGCAACCCTGCGATATTGCGAAGCTCCTCTAGAAAATCCACTGCTCCAGCGCGTTAGTGAAGCTAAATATTATTCCCTAGACATCTTCTACATTTCCTCGATGTCTTTTGCATTCGTCTCGATCTACATTATACATATTGTAATTAATTAAAAATCAATATTGGAGTAGCTGCTGCGAATTTTTACGTCATTAAAAAAAAATAGAAAAATCTATATTAGAAATACTTTTAGCACAACTCAGTTCTCCAACCGAACTTATTTCTCACCGGGAAGCTTAGGACAATTAATTCAGGATGACTGAATCCAATCAAAATCATTCATTTATATATTATATATACATACTGTTATGATTTATGGAATAAACTCTATTTTCATTGAACACAATTAGGGTACAATATTATATTTATACAAGAGATATATTAGGTAGAATATATATATCAATATATAAAATATATATATACTATATATATCAACATCCCCCCTCAAACTCAAGGTGGAACGGTGGAGCCCAACTTGAGTTTGTTCAAAAATGACTGAAAACGGCCGGGAATGTGAGGTTTGGTGAATCCGTCGGCCGTCTGATCAGCAGAGGAAATAGGAGACAAGGAGATGCTTCCATGAGCAACGTGATGACGTACAAGGTGACAGTCGATCTCAATATGCTTCGTACGCTCGTGGAAGACATCATTTGTCGAAATCTTCATGGCGCTCTGACTGTCGCAATGGATAATAGTGGCAGAGGGCTGAGGCACTCCAAGATCAGCCAAAAGCCAGCGAAGCCATAGAAGCTCAGCAGCGGTATCGGCAAGGGCTCTATATTCAGATTCTGCACTGGACCGGGAGACAACCGTCTGTTTCTTGCTGCGCCATGAAATAAGCGAGTCGCCAAGGAAGAAGCAAAACCCGGTGGTCGAGCGGCGATCAGAGGGATCTCCCGCCCAATCAGCGTCAGAATACCCGGTCAAAACTAAGGAGGATCGAGCGGAATAATGAAGTCCATGAAGCAGGGTACCTTTGACGTACCGGAGAATCCGTAGGACAGCAGAATGATGAGTCGTCCGAGGAGCAGACATAAACTGACTGACGATATGGACGGCATAAGCAATATCCGGTCGAGTGACAGTCAGGTAGATGAGACTTCCCACTAGCTGACGATACAAAGTCGGATCATCAAGGGGAACGCCGTCCATCGGAGTAAGACGACAGTCAGAATCAAGAGGTGTAGGAGCAGTCTTGGAGTCAGTGAGACCGGCAATAGATAGGAGGTCGGAGGCATACTTGGCTTGAGAGAGATAATATCCGTCGGAGGTGTCGGAGATCTCAAGTCCCAGGAAGTACCGAAGAGGCCCTAAACTCTTCATCTCGAAGTGGCGGTTTAGATGAGCTTGCAACTCGGAGATACCTGATGCATCATCTCCCGTAATAATCATGTCATCCACATAAAGCAATAAAATAGTAATTCCAGCTGACCCACGTCGAAGGAAGAGAGCCGAATCATGATCACTAGAAGTAAAGCCAAGCTGGAGTAGAGCAGAGCTAAATTTCGAAAACCAAGCTCGAGGGGCCTGTTTCAAACCATATAGGGCACGGCGAAGTTTGCATACCTTGGAAGAGGTAGGAAAACCAGGAGGAGGAGACATGTAGATATCCTCGGATAAATCACCATGCAAGAACGCATTCTTGACATCAAGCTGATATAGGGGCCACCGACGAGCGGCAGCGATGGCGATAAGACAGCGGACAGAGGTGAGACGAGCAACCGGGGCAAATGTCTCCTCATAGTCGATACCATACTGCTGGGTGTAGCCTTTGGCTACCAAACGTGCCTTGTAGCGCTCGATACATCCATCAGAGTTAGTTTTGA